TTTCCACACCAATACACTTGGGAACCTGCTGGTCGCTATTGCAAGGGTGAGAACACAAATACTCTTGCAGAAGTACCAGTATGTTACCTCTGCTGTGCAAAAAAGTTCAGCTGTATGACCTCTTGCAGTACTTTTCAAAAGCACAACCAGAAAAAACAAGGCTCATTTCTTTTTTTAAGAACAAACACTACATGCAGTTTTTGCAGTTAAACAGGCTTACATGCAAAGATTGTTTTGTTCACAATACCAATGAGCACACTTGCTACTTCCACGGGATCAGAATACAGGAGAGTCTAAAACTTACAAGTATGCTGCCATTGAGATAAACCTTCTAACTTAAAATCATTCAGTACTTTATGATGTTTGGACCTAAAATAAAGTTTATCGTGAAAAGTTTTGTACCTGAAATTAAATTATTTGAAATATACTATAAAATACTAAAATTAAAGTTGAGGGCTTTTTCTTGTGCTCTAGGATGACCCAGGGAGGTTGGACCACACGACCTACTGTGGTCCCTTCCAACCTGACCCATTCTGTGGTTCTTGGAAAGCCAAGACCTTCTCAGAACATTGAGCACAGCAATCTTATTCCTCCCAATTAATGTTTACAGTTGCCAAAATGCAAGAAAACAGTTCTGCTGCCACTGTTCTGGCAGGTCTCCCCTCATATCAGAGTTAACTTCTATATTCCCCTTCCCCTCAGACATTCACCACAGTTATTTACCACTTTTCTGTTTTCTATTCTGTGTTTGCTCTTTTACCATATGCTGGAAGATTCTCCATTCCCAACTAGTGGCTCCCTTATTTTCACCTCATTTCTACTCCTTTTTGCTCTATCTGCTGCTTATGCTTTCCTCAGATGTTCCCTTTTCCACTCTTCTTTCTCTCAAATGGTCTACTACATTCCTCTCTCCACACAGCAAGCAGGACCTCAACAGAGAACAGCTGACTTGACACAAAGACTGTTGATTTCATGTTACTGCTTTACATTTGAATGCACAGGGAAGATAAAGAGCAAACAGAGGTCAAAGGAAAGATTACAGGAATCTCTGCACTCAAGGACATGAACTATCTGTCCATCAGACCTCTAGTGAATTAAGAATCAGTTCTACTTGCTGCATGAGCATAATCATTTCTTTCATCTAAATAAATAAAAACAGTATTCATAAATAAAACTTTCCAGAACTTCATACTGGATTTTATCTATGCCTTTGACAAGGTGGTGTTAGGTCAAAGGCTGGACTAAATCTCAGAGGTCTTTTCCAACTTAGTTGATTCTGTGAAATTAACACATTATGCAGTATCAGAAAATATATGAAAAATGCATGCTAAAATTTTAGAAAAACTGAGAAAGAAATGATACCATATCATGTTTACACACACAATAGATACATTGAGAGGCATTCTTTCAATACCCTGTTTCTGTTGTTCAAATTAAACAGAAAAGCAAAACAAAGTTTCTGAAAAAAGTATCATAAAATAAGAGAGATTAACTACTAACAACAGTCCATGCTCACAGGAAACAATTCATGCCTCATCCTGATAAGCAGCAGTGCCTCTGTGCTTGACTGGCATCTCAAACTTCTGAGTATTCACAAATTCTCCAGTAACCACTGGACAAAACAAGAAGCATATCTTCTTGAGACAAATGTGGGTTGGACCCTTAACATGAATCATCCCTGAACTACACTGGAAGACCCAGAGATAAAAATGCTACCTACTTAGATCCTTTCTCATTCAGAAGTCTCAACAGAGGAGTCAGTTGCAGTCAGAATAATTTAGATTGTAAAGAACCTCAAGAGATCATTTAATCCAACACACAACTGAAAGAAGTGCCATCCTAGACTTTCATCTACTCCCATTAATAACAATGGAGATATTATACAGGGGGAAAAAGATGGAGATTACATTCCCATGACCACGTTTAATCTATCTTGACTCAGTCTTGAGTTAGTCACACTTTCAGAATCTACTAACAAACAGACTATCTTATTTCTTATTTCAGTGTATACAAGTTGTCACCAGTCAAAAAGGCAACAGGCATTTTCAGGGCACAGTATTGTTGCAAATATCCCAATTTCATTTATTCAACATTTATAATGAAGATACTGTTATTACAGATACTATATGATGCAGCCTTGGTTGGTTAAGTCAAATTCTGCTTAAGTCTGCTTTCTTTACAAATATTAGACTATTTTTTTTAATTTAATTAATTTCCTTCGTGATGTTGTCAGGTAGATCTAACTGGGAAGGACAATTAAACCATGAATTCAAGGCCAGGTACTATCCAGTCCTAAAAAACAAAGTCAACAAAGACTGTAGTCTGAGGACTCATTCCCTGTAAGCTGAATGGAGTTAAAAAGGAATGAGGTAACTTGTGGATATCCTAAAGTCACAGCAGTAGAAACTGAATGTTTGTTCATACAGCAGAGTTAAGTCCTTGCATTTCAGACTGCCAGCATGTCTCAACTCAGCCTGAATGAGTCACCCTCCTGGAGGGTCACTGTGCTACTTCAGTGCTGGACTCTCTAATGGGACTGCCATGAATGATATTATACGGTGGCATTTGCTCCAAGAGGACACTTGTCTTCTAAGAACTGGGTAAAAACCACTGATTTCTCACAGGTCAGTAAGCAACCATCAAAACAGTAGTGACTAAAAGTCCTTACCAACTTTTCCCTGCTTTGAACTGGTGACACAGAAGTGATGGGAAAGACTCCATCCTCCATTAGCAATCCCTAAGCTACCCATTACATGGTCCTTGACCTGCTACCCAGTCACCCTATCCCATTCCCACCCTGTGTGAGTGAACAAGCATCTTTGTTTACAGAAATTGCAATCCTTGGGAATTTAAATCTAAAATTCTCACAGTGTACATTACCGTTACAACTGACACTGAATTCAGCTGGTATTACTTAACTAATAATGCTTTGTAACTCAGAAGAGACTTGTAACTTACAGGGAAAAAACACACTGTCTCTAAAACACAATGCAAACATAAATGCTGCTTCCCAGGAAATCAGGGGGGCAAGAGGGCTGTGTTCAGATACAGGAATCTAGAGCACGCTATTCATAGGAAGACTACAGTAATCTCTAGTTATTTACAAGCTTGCTATTCAAACATAAAACCAAGTAACTTCAAAACAAGATTAAAAACTATTCCGTGCCTTTTACTACTAACAAAAACTCTGTTATGGACAAAGGTTCATGTAAGGCACTTTACATAAGATCAAGGTGGTTTAATACTGTGTTACATACCACCTAACATTTTAAAGTAAAAACATGCACAACGGTTTTAGAAAGAAAATTCTGCACACGTCAATGCAGTTTAGAATATTACAGATTGAACAGTTTCTACTAATGACACTATCAAGAATCATTAGGCAAAAGATACGTTAATATCCACAACTTTTCCAGTTCAAGTGAACACTGAGAAGAAACTACCATCATGTTTAAAGCTACATAAAAATCCCATTGGTTTTCAAATGGAAACCACTAGCCACTATAAGTAAAAATGTGTTCTGAAAATTCATCTATTTTTCAAACCTATGGTACATATAATTTTGTGCTCTGCAGTACTTTAAAAAAAGAAAACATTCCCTCCTTGTAGTCCATTCATTATCTCTTTCAATATATTTAATAGATGAAGAGCTTTTTTCAGACAGAAATACTACAGAGATATCAGACATGAACACTTAAATGCATACATGCATACTAATAAAAAGACTGTAAAAACCTCAAGAATACAAATTAGTACTCTTTTGGTGTAAAGAGTCATATCCTTTAAAGGATATGTATGTATTAGCTACATACACATCTGTGTAAAACACCTAAGCACAAATGATCAGTTCCATCTCACATTATAGCACACAATAAAAAATTATGCTTCCCACACAATTGCAATATTCTCATTAAATATAATACCTCCAAGCATCACTTGCTATTAATGCAACTCAGTGTGAATCCAGAGCCTGTCTCTGCTAAAAACAACACCAACAAAAAACAACTCTAAAAAATCCCACCTCACATCAGTCAACTATAGGGGTATAAATTTCTCTGTCATATAAATTTACTCAGCTGTTATACAGCAGGGGATTACATCAGCACATTGTACTGCAATAGCCTAATGGCTCGAGTTGCACCAGTAAAAACCCATTTTAGAGTTAGTAGTTCATTTACAATGGCTAATTCTACCATGTATCGAGCTACACTGCGGTAGAGGGCTGTTCATTTTCCCCTAGATATATAAATCTCTCAAGTATGACACGGCATCTGTAGTATTCAGCAGCCAACATTAAAGCCAAACCAAGTTTTACCGAAACTTTACAAGAATTTCTACCTCTCTTATCCTGAGTTGTCCTTCCTACTTTCTATTAGGAAGACCTAAAGATTTTTCCCACACAAACCATGATCTCCCTCACTAAAACTTAAAAGGAATGAAAGTGGTCTGGGCTGATTCATCCCTGCTGCTTGGAAAGGCTAGAAGAACAGCTACATCTCCTATGCAGTCAGCCAGCAAGAGCTGAAACACATGCTGACCAACAGTCTACATCTGTATTTGCCCAAACCTAAACAATTACCTTGAAAATAAGAAAAATATATACATACACAGTCAAATACTGCATTGTGATAACTACAATCAATATACTAAACTCCTATAAAATGGCGGCTACTTTAAATTTCTTACAGTACAGTGGCCTTTCTCCCCCCACTACCCAACATAATAAATCACTTATATGCTACCATTCTGCGAGAACTATGACTTTAAGGAAATTATTAAATATTTATCTCATAATATTCAAGTTAAAAAATGGAGGAGAAAAATGAAGTCTCTTTAGAGTTGATGTATCTTCTCAGCTTAATTAACACAAGCTTTTCCAGTTTTAATTTGCACTTAAGAAGCAGGAACTTTACTCAATTTGCTAATTACTACATTTTCAAGCTGTTTTCTTGAAATAGATGACGGTCTATCACTCTAGGAATCCAAATTTCTCTAGTTACCTCGAATTACGTAATTGTCCAAAGCCTCTTCCATTCTTTTCAGTGCTTCAGCTCTATTAGAGCCATAGGTAATCAGCTAACAAAAAAAAAAAAAAAAAAAGGTATTTACATCACCTAGAAATAAAATGTTTGTCTCTACAATTTGAATAGCATTTAAAAATGAAAATTATTTGCAGAACTTCTGCAGTCACAAAACCATTTCTTGCACATTAGTGCATCTGTGCTTCAGAGGCTCCCTGAAACATCAAGAAAAAACTGAGATATTTTACCCATTCACATAAAGAAGGTCAATCACTTTTCCTTCATACAACTTTAAGCATCTAAACAAGCTCTCAGAAAAATCAGAGCAAAGGTTCAATACTCAAGTTGACTCTCCTGACTCCTAACGCCTAACCAACTTCAAAGATGTAATTTTTTTGACAACTGAACTCTGACTATAATGTCTTATTTTAATTTTACCAATATGTTACTGATGAATAAGAACTAGGAGACACCATCAACCATTTCTTTCAATGCTTCTTTCTGGAAGCCAAAATCATTGACATTTTCGTCCCGGTTAGACTATGTTAACAAATGGCTGGTGTTTAAATTAGAATCTTTTTAATAGTTAGAAACTACAAGACAAATAAATTACAGTGTCAAAAGGTAAAAATAATTTTATTTAGAAGTGATACTAAATTTCCTCCACTGCACAACTTCCTTCACTTCTTTTATATTCCCTTGAGGCATGTTATGCCTGGCACCTTCAAAATACTGATTTACCAACCCTTCAACATGCTCTCAGTTAAAAGATCCATGTATAGAATTACTGTTTCATACCTTTACAATACTGAAAAACAATAGTCAACTCACTTTTGAGATCATGGGATCATAATAAATGCTAATATCACTTCCTTGTTGTATTCCACTGTCAACACGTACCTTCAAAAAATAAGAAGTAAAAATAATTACATATTGGTGGGGAAAAAAAAAATTTCAACCTAAGGATCAAATCTACCCATCAGCCTTACAACAAACACCCACAAAGCTTATCAGGTACATTTTTACCTCTGGAAGAACTAAAATAATTATTTGTTTTTCAGAGAACCTGGGAAGAGGGAAGGGAAGCTTTTTCCTCCACCAGGAAGACTTGAAAATTATTCTCTTCTTCAAGAGAAAATTTACTGCAATCTTCAGTCGATAGTCAAAATTCTCTTTTGTTCTCTGTAACTCACAGTAAACACACGAAGTTTGATCTAACAATTTAGGCTGTGTTACACATTAGCTTCAACTCTGAACATATCCAATTCTGATTTACTCCCTGTAATAAAATACACTTGTAATTATTTTTCTGACTGACACGTGGCATGAAGGATGACCCTTATAATCACACCCTTTCTGCATCTATATATAATCACATTCCTCATGTTCCACTACAGCTCTTCCAAGGACTTCAGTAGGAATAGAAGTAGAGAGCATTCAGCAGGAACTTTGGAGTTCTGCTTTATCAGCTCCATAGGAATACTGATCCTGTGGTTTTCATGTCTGTAACACTTTCCTTCTCTGCCTCACCCTCTCAAACGTAAAACATTTTTTTCTGTTGCTGTTGTTCCCCAGAGGCTTTAATGTTTACACAGCTTTTTCCATGGCTTTGCTTTGTAAGGACACAGCCCCAATTAAAGCTCTGATTCTGCATTATTCGTGGAAAAAAATAACACAAGTTCAAAAATTTCTTTTGAAGAGGCTGATTGCTGTTAACCAGCCAACAAGTTAGTTAGTATATTGCTGATTCTTGTTTTCATCTCTCAGTTTGAATTCATCACTGTAACAATGAGGTTAGCCATATAAAACTTTTCAAATGAGCCATTTCTGGGGAATAAATATTTATTAAATTGCTGCTTTTGAGCAGTGGAATCTGAAATATTTTTTAAAAAACAATCAAAATAACTCTAGAGTGATAAACACATTCTGGGGATCATCAGGATGGAGGGCTCTAATCAAAGCTGTTGAAGCAGCAGGGATCCGATACACCGCATTGTAAAGGGAGTGGGAAAGAGGGTCCTGGAATCTCACTTAAATCTTCACCTGTGGGAAGGAACCTTTGTAATAAACAGCAGCTCATCTGTCTGCAGCAAGGCAGGAAAAGGTCAATGCAACGGCTGTTAGGCCTTTAATATTTTAATTTAGGCAATTATCAAGGGACCACATGTAGAACCTCTTGTCTACAGAATCCACATGAGGGCATGATGATGACTCTATTATCCAAGTGACATAAAAAGATACCCTAGCAGGTGTACTCACTTTCTTCAGTAAGAAACACTCTCTGACTAGTTTTTAGGACATTACTTTAGGAAGAAACCTGCTTATTCATAAATTTGTATTTATATATTTATGCTTACATATTTATACATCATTTCTTCTTTATTTGTGTTTGTTTAGCATATTTATTCATATGTAAAGGCAGTGTTGTTTCTCTACCACTTTAATCACACCTTATCTGAAAGTGTTTATCCTTAACTGGACTCCCCCACTACTTACATGAGGTACATTTAACATTAGCTACTGATAAGAAGGTAGTTCAGACATATCAATATTACAGAAAAAACATGCAGTGCATATCTTAGCTTCCTTTCTTCACACTTTTCCCTATGTAAAATATCCTTAAAAAGTTTAAAATTCTTTATAAAATATTGTATAATTTCCTTAAAAAAAAAAAAATCTGGAGTCCTTTGTAGAAGTTTTATTTTCAGAAAATAAACTCAAGATGACTGAAAAAAATTACAGCATAAAAGAAATAAATTTATACCATCTTCAGTTCTCCCTGTGGTGCTTACATTTTCAGAGCCTGGTAACAGTAGGTGATTTTATAAACTATATGGTGTGACAGAACTTAATGAATATTGGATGAAAAAGAAACCCTAATTCAATAGATACTCACCATAATGTGCTGAACTTGATAAACAATAGCAATATTTACTAAACCTCCAGCATTTACTTCTGCTTAGCACACTTCCTTTCTTTTACTCACTGTTTAAAATATCAAGGAAAGGTTAGGGTTCAAGATCCTGCTCTATCCTAGAAGCTCACTTCCTATTGCAGCCCCAACACTTTGCTGTTGTATTATCCTTATGTGTTATTAGAGTAAGACAACAGAAAAATGAAAGATAAAAAATGCATAAGAGGTTAAAAAAAAAAAAAAGCATAATCTGTGTCTCAGTCCTGCAATGAACTACTAGTACATCAAATTCCACTTAGGAATACCTACAGATTCTACTATTTCTCAACTCTTTGCTATATCTAAGAACTTTTTCTTTCTGTTAAGAGCCATTAAAATACCAGACTGCTGATCATACCAGCAAAGAGCGATGCTGGAGCTCTCCTGATATGGTAGGAGCACTGAACATCAAAAATCACTACCATAGGACAGGGGTTTGTTTGTGGTCACTTATCTTAAGCCTCCTTACCAAAGACAAAAAATGTTTGGTATTTATGAGTACCAAGTTCTGAAGAAACTACAGACTACATAACAGAAAAACAGCCAGGATATTCCTCTCTCTGGCTAAGCAACAGCCCTCACCAGCCACATACACCAGTTTCACCAGCATGAGCAGTTGACACACAGGTAAACAATCAGAGCTAACTGGAGACACAGAAGAAATGAATTGCAAATACATTTGGCAATACACTATTTATAAGCTGAACTCACTGTGACACACCACAAATCTCCACTAATTTTTCTCAAGCTAAATTGTTGACAATTGTAAAATCTTGAGTGCGGAAAGTAAACACTGTGGCACACTGGGCCTGTAACACTGAACTTTTTTAGTCATTTTAATTTTGTTCTTAGCAGCATGACATTCTCAGGAGAGAAATTAGTTCCACAGTGGCAGAAATATATGTATTAAGACACCAAATCATGAGTGTCTACATAAAAATAGTTGTTCTATTTTTAATACGACAGTAGAAGAGGAAGAGAACAGCCTATACACTCCATATGAGCTCCTCAAACCATTGCTCTGAAGCCTCCAGTGTAATTAAAATCTCTTTCTTTGGTACCACGATGGACCACGAGAAGCAATCAGGCATCTCCCACCCTTCATTTTCAATTCACCTCTCCCCCTAAGCACAACTCCCAGCCCACCCCGTCTACCTGACAAGTGACAGCCCAATCTGATTAAATGCCTGCAAGGGAGGGGACTCATGGGCCTCCATGACAGGCCAAAAGTGATCACCATGGAGATACATAATTACAGCTGTCAACGCATCTACTGTCCTGCTGGCATCAATTTGATTGCTCCCAGCAATAATGATAGACAAAGCTTAGTGTGCACTCTCCTACACCCAATCACTTTATCTATTCCGTGGTCCATTTAGCTGACATGCAACATTCACACAAGCAAATAACAGCAGTAAGCAGAACATTTAAGGCATTTTAATTGTTTTTTCTTTGTATGGATGGCTTACAAGCGCAAATGTTATTACATAAAACTCCTGCTGCAGCATTAATTGAAGAAAGATTTGGTGGGACAAAGACTGTAGGGGGTATAGTTTGTCCATTATCACTTGTACTTTCAACAGGTCTCACGTTTGGAAAATTGCAAATTGCAAAAACTTGCAAGGGCAAAATGTTTGACATCCTGTTAGCTATTACAACATGGTGAAAACTTCTAACAACCACTGGAGTATTCATTATAAATTCTTATTAAATACACTCTTTATTTCATTAAAAAGAAGTTTAGATACATCCAATGATACCTTTTTCCCTCATCTCCTCTTTAAGAGTACATAATGGCTTTTAGATCTTCACAATTTTTTTCTGCTTTCGGACTTTGAACACAGCATGAAGCCTTAAAGACCAGAAAGGGTCAGGTCCCTTTGGAAAGTACATGGGCAAAAACAATTTAGAAAGCAAAATAAATCATATATCCAATAACATCTCCACATTTAAGATTCCTCCTGTAATCTTTCACTATTTTCCGTGCAAGCAATCAGACTGAGTAATTGTATTCACAGATGGTACAATCTCATCATTCCACTGACACAGTGTCATGTATATGTGCACTTAGATTACCTTGATTTTACAGAAAGGCCTTTAAACAGCACAAAACATTGTTTGTTCAACAGCTATTCTGTATAGTTATACTGTATCCTGAAACACGCAATAACCACTGCATGAAACTCATCTTTAACATCTACAAAGCTAAACAAAAAGCACTGGCAGCTTCTCACCGGTGTCCCCATTTCTCTATGCTTAAAGAACTGACTCAATATTTCACTGTCCTTTCAAATGGCCACACTATTTTTACTAAAACTGTGTTTGAAAGTTACAGAACAAATTATTTCAACACATAATGATTTCTTGTTACACTCAATTTGATTATTTTCAACTAAGTTTGGAACTGCACAGTTTTAAGCAGTTTTTCAGATTGAACAAATCAGTTTTGCTATGTCCTATCCCCTCTCTGGCAAAAAGCTAGAAAAAGAGACTGATTTACAAAGCCACTGAGTATTTATAGTCTCTGCCTATAAGAGAGAAACTCAGCATCTATGAAAACCAGAACCGAGTTACTTACACTTGGCACATGCAATGGTTCCTGATACTGAGACAGTTTACCAATGGATGGCAGGCCAAAAGATTTGTAGGGGTCCTGAAATAAAATTCAACAGGAGAACGCATTAAGCTTTTACAGATGTGGAGCAGATAATGTTAAAAAGCTTGAAGTAACAAAAACTGCTACTGGAATGACTTTGTTTTCTTCCCCAGAATTACTTGTGTTGAAGAATATTTCTTCATCCATCTGCCCCTGCAACTCCAAAGAGAAATGGAAGCATATAAATTCTCTTGCATCAGTCAAAAAGCATGAAAGAAGTGCTCTGCACACAGTTAGAGTACACCACTACAACAAAAGACGAAAAGATGACATTTTCATTAGCTACACTGTGCCTTGGAAGAAGGATGGGAAAGTATTCAGAATGGTGGGGTGGAGAAGAGATAAGAAAAAAATTTCAGAGATAAAAAGGGACATTAGAAATTCAATAATCTTAAGAAATCAAACCAATCTTTATGCCTTTGGAAATCTCCTACGTAATGCAACATCATTTTAACATATAAATGCAACATTATTTTAACACATAAACTTAATAATAATAATAATAATAATAATAATAAATACATGGCCTACAGAATTACCAAATTCATGGCAACGTAGTTGGATTCATTACTTCTAATTGTGAGGGGATTCAGGTTGAACAAAAAAAAAAGGTCCAGGCATCAATTAATTACTCCAGGGTAAAGCCTACTAATACTCAGAACAGCTTCCATGCTAACAACAGGGTAAATACTTATTCTTTATCAAAATAGTTTGCACAACTTGTAATCAGTAGAACAAGTTGAAAGATTATGTGCCTGCCACAAAGGGGGGGGGGAAGTAAAATAAGATGTTCTAGGTCTGAAAAGTCACAATAGTTAAACAAGAAAAAACGTCTAAAAATGTCGAGTAATTTTTGAAAAGCAGAGCTACCTAAAACATTCCTGAAACAAAATTAAGAAAGGTAGGCATTATTTTCCAGGCTCCATCCCTGGCAGTGTTCAAGGCCAGGCTGGATGTGGCTTTGAGCAACTGGGTCTAGTAGAAAGTGTCCTTGCCCACAGCAAGAGGAGTGGAACTAGATGATCTTTAAGGTCCGTTCTAACCCAAACCACTCTGTTATTCTATAATTTTTTTCACCTAAGAAATCTTGATTTCAAGTATCAAAAATGACAGTAAAAAGACATTACCTTTAAATGTCCTAAACTTTTGATTGAAAATGGGTTTTAAATTTTTGTAAGCTTATTTAAGATGAGATAGAGAGTCACATCATAATTATAAAGTTATTGTTTTGGAATGTACTTTGAAAGTTTGTCTATAACCTGTAGTTTCAGCAGATGTGTAGCTTGCTTTTCAACAACCTTTCACAAAGTTTTAGTAAAACAACAAAAATTACATAAGACGTTGAATTTCAACTGTCTTTTGAAGTCAACAAGTTTCAGATTTCAGTCAAAAGATTTCACAAACCTGGAAACAGTAGTTAACCATAGGAAATAACTCCAGCAATGCATCATTAAATGTGAACAGAACATACAGGTTTATTTCTAACAACATTTACTCACTTATCTCTTTTACCATTGTTAATTTTGATTATCAGAAAAAAAGCTCTGTTGAAATACACACCATATTTTTATTTAAAAAATAACAACTCTACAATTCTACAAAACCTCCTTAACCATTCACATTACATGCTCTAAATCATGACTTTCATATGATATTCCTTGACTTCACCTTGGCATCTATCCACACCTGGGTATTATTACGCCACAATTCAACCACCTACCCTCCTCCCCATTACCACTCATTTACCTCAGCATAAACTCGACATTCAACCGCCCAGCCGTTGATGGGAATATCAGCCTGTTTGTGCCTGAGAGGGTAACCCTTAGCAACACGGATCATTTCTTGGACTAAGTCCAGGCCGGTAATGCATTCTGTGACGGGATGTTCAACCTGCAAGGTCAAGAACTGTCAGTCAGTAGGTAACAAAAAACAACAACAACAACAAAAAAGCCTCTCTGTAAACAAACACATATAAACAAGAAATTTGACCAGCCAAAGAACAAAGAATATGCTTATGTTTTGCTCTTTTTCCCAAAAAAAAAAATTCTGCTTAAACTCCAGCAACCACCATCTTTGCAGGGGAAGGAAAAAAAAAAAGAAAAAAATTAGCAGACTACAATAACTAGGAGCAGCATACAAAAGGAAAACTAGAAAGGTCACCTAGAAGGATTCAGGAGTTTGCAGGTTTTGGGGTTGGGGATTTTTTTTCATTTGTTTTACAAATTCAAATGCAGCTGGTGATGATGAGTTAATTTTTCTTTGTTTGGAAGCGTTTCCTATCCAATTTTGTTTTGAAGAGACTCACACTGTAGCCATAATAGTACTTTAACTGAAAATCTCAAAGTAGCTAATAATCAACCCATTCTGCTACACATAACATAGCACAAACAAGAGCCACTTACAATTTTCCATAGAACTAGCCTACCCTAAATCTCACCCATTCGCCTGCTTTCACTAACCTGTCCTGACAAGCAACCAGATTAGCGTAATCTTGCATCAGCGCAGTGTAGCAGAAATGAGCAGATGGATCCTTCAATTTTTTTTCCCCCTCCAGACTTATCTGTTTAGTGCTTAGCATGCACAATAGCTGGGCTGGACCAGCAGAGTCGCTCTGCGCTCTCAGCAAATTGCCGCTAACGGCTTTGGATGATGCTGCCATGGGAATACCCGTCGTTCACGCTCACCCAGGATGTGCGTACAAGCATGCACACGTGTGTGCGCATATGCACATACACACACACTTCTTCCTTCAAATGGGAATACAAATTAATACCTTCATTAACTTCAGAAAAAACCTTTAATTAGCCACAGGACAGAAAAAAGCACCCGAAGACAAGAGGGCCCATCCAATAGATCAAGTAAAAGGTAGGTAAGCTAAAAGCATGTTCTTCTCACAAGAAAGAGCTGTAAGACTTTCCATGCAGAAATTAAGACAGAATTGCCATTTTTATTATAAAATGTTTGTGCTCCAAGGGCCAAAACACCTCAAGAAAACACACTTCACAAATCTTTCTCTATCATGAGATGTCATACGACGTTGCTTTTCTGACACAAGAAAAGGTCACTGACCAAAAAACTTTGTCTTTCTTCCTTAAAGTATATGAGTATTAAGGAAAACATTTAGTCATTAGAATAATATTGTGGCTTATCAGAACAAGTAGATGCTTTGGTCTTTAAGAAAAAAAGCTTTGTAAAAATAAACAGATGGCATCCATAATTAGCCCTGTGTGTGTTGTGAGTTTGCTTAGAGTTTCAACAATATTTTAAGACGTTTTGACATAATTTTAATGACAAATCATCACTGAAACAAGCACCTATTCTTTGAAGGACAAAAGTGACATTGAAATGGGAATCTGATTATACAGTTTAAGGATATACCTTTGGGATTCAATCTTGATTCTACCTAACACATGATACTCTCCAGTATGTCAAGCTTAATAACAGTATTTTGAGAATCTATGAAACATCTCAGTGTCTGTCCTGCAGTGTTAAATTGAAGTAATTCAATTTCTATTAAGACTTGAAGTTTCTATTAAAATTCCTTAAGTTTTAATAGAAAGTTACTTATCACACATTCATATTTGGACAACTGAACTTACTTTCTTATTTTGGAATCCAAGTTTTAAAAAGTTACCTTTAGAGTTAAGAACAGGTTTGGAATTTTAACATTCCAGATAATTAAAATACTTTTTATTTTTCCAAAGACATTTGCATTATTTAGTTATACTGTCATTTTTCTTGGATAGCAATTGGCATTCCAGATTCAATAGCTTCATTGTTGTTTTCAGTTTTATTGTTGATGATCAAAATAAGATGGAATGTTTCTGGAAAGAAAAATATTTTTGTTGTTTGGTTCTTACGACTCACAAACATTTATTTAATCCATTCTTCAATACAGATCTTTGACTTGGTCAATATTTTCTTCTATTTCTTCAAAATACTCCCTTTGTGTCTCCACACAAAACAGCATTCAGAAAACATGTATAGGAAAATTTCTGACGGTTTGGTTTTTGTTTGGTTTGGTTTGGGTTTTTTTTAGGGGTGGGGAGAAGTTGTTCTGCTTTCTTTTAGGACTCTGCTTCAAGTAGCACTGTTTAGGAATAACGTAGGCAGTTCCAATCACATCACTAATTTGGGGGTACCAAATACATTATGAATATATTTTAGTATTCATTAAGACCACCAGATGACCCACATGGTGTAGGAAAGAACTTTAACCTTGACATTCTAAGTTGACTTATTTGTAACTTTAACCTTCCAGCGAGGTGCACAACTCACACTGTACTTCTTTCAACATTTGCAGTTTACTTTCAGCAAGGGGAGGGCAGGAGGGGGTCAGTACTTTCAGCATTCTACAGAACAGGCTTTGGCACAAAGTACCAAAGGACAATAACAAAGCAGCAATGCCGCATCTTGGTTCAACAAACCAGCTTTGCTGCAATGAGGTTTTGGAGTTGCAAGAATCCACCCACAGAGAGACACAAGCTCTAAGCTTTTACAAAGCAAGGAAGGACAGAGGTAGGTAAAGCGAAAAGACTAAACCCCTCTTCTACTTCCACCCCAAAAAAGAAAAGGACACAGACATCCGCATTCTCTGCCTGCAAAAACTTTACAACTGTCACAGCTATCCAACTAAGCTAATTGTATCTGTTTTAAAATCACTCTTAAAAGCTAGGCTTCAACCACTTTCCTCTTTTACTTTTCAGCCTTCTACTTTTGCCTGCCTGTTGTATTTTCTTCTATCATTTTACGCTGTACCCCTTCTCCACCAATAGTCTTTCTCACCATTTATGGATTCTAAGTCAATTACTACATTTTTGAATAGGTGAATGCAAGTATGCTCACAAACAGAGATGAATCACACTCAATTGATCCACTCCTTCAGCTTTAGGTCAAACTCAGATTTGCAGTCAGCTGATCCAAGATGCTGCCAGTGAAGGCCCAGCCAATGGACTATGGTTATATGAAAGTGGGTAAATTCACACACTGCCACTGTCCTCAGCATAAAGGGCAAAACCAGACATGTCTATGTCAAGGTAGCCATACTTTATTCTCAACAAGGACAAGCAATAAAAATGATCAGCAATAGCTCTCAATTAATTAGCTGCCCAAAGTAACACCTTTACTATCAGTTCCTTTACTTGTACCAAATTTGGTCACAAACAATTTACACCAAGTCATCATTTCAATGCACTTAAGCATGATACGTAGCTCTTCATAAAGTCTTACTCCCCACTTTTTGTCATAAACACACACACACATCATCACTACTTCTGTAAATTGTCACTTATATTCCTGCTTTGAAGTCCACAAAGCTTTACCTGCTATGGCCAGCAACAGCTGTACACAGTAAAGGGAACGTGTTGCCCCTTCAGGGACCTGCTGGATCTGCTCTTCTTCAGACATCTGACAGTAACCAGATTTCCTGAGAGAATGCAAGTTTCTTTGCTTCACTAACCTCTTCCCGTATATACAACAAGAGACACTAGTGGCAAAGCCCATCAGAAAATAATAACTAAGTCCCAGTTTATACATGGTGAAGTAGATACAAAAGAGAAAGGAAAACCTACCAATGTCACAGTCCAGTTAGCATCCATCACCAGAACAGTATGGAAAGGCTGCTAATTCTCCTCCTGTTCTGTGACTCAGTCTTAAAGCTTCACCATAGTGGGGTTCATCCACAGCTAAAAAACAGTCATGTGTTTTTTACGGACAGTTGGAGCTAAAAATTAAATTAGCAGTGACTGCTCCCCTTATATTCAGGGGAATAATTTCAGGACACATTTTTCTCAAGACTATCAAGGTACTCAGATCTAATAGCAAACACTTCTGGACACTCTCACAGACAGCTCTTGCCCCTCTGTGTATAAGGCATCAAGTTACTCACACACCAGTTGGATCATTCAAGCACACCACATCAGCCAAGAAAATCTAAATTTCAGTAGACTTAATACTATAGCCTATGTCACCCCTACTACTGTAAGTCCCTAGATGGTGTCATATATCCCTTTACATTCAGATAAATAATCTCAAAACTAACTTTCAACATACACCTCAGTTTCCAGGAAATGTGATTCACCTGGAGTCCCACAGGCTTTGCTGCTGCAGCCAAATCCAGTATCAATTGACCCAAACACACCAACTTACAGATGCTTCTCAACCCCCTGTATTTCAGTAAGCCTGGTTTCTATTTCGAAGAGCTGAACAGCAACAGAGGTGCACACATGTTCTGCTCTTCAGGCATGCCAGCTTCCTGACTACTATGAGCAGGAACACTCTGGGGTCACATCTTTCTGCGAAACAGCTCACATGTATACAGGGTTCAGCAGCACACAGCAAAAAAACAGCTTTTCATAAAGGCTGCTGAAGAACAGACAATGGCTGGATTAATGTATAGAATGAATGGAAAGCACACAGGAATATTTAACAGTCAAACTCCTATGCTGTCCTCTTCTATAGACACAGTATATAACAACATGTGCTGTTTGTTTTCTGATTTATTAGTATGTGATCAAACAACTGAAGGCAACTAGAACTACAAAAATTTCCACCAGTTGAGATGCTTGGGTTTCCCAAGTAATATGTAGAAATAAGAACTAATGAACAAACATTCAGTACCAACTAATTTTTTTATCACAGCATTAACTCTGGAAAAAATGTTTAATCTACCTCCTCATAGGAAGTTACCCAAGTTATCTCCCAATAATCATTGGCATTGTTTTTTCAATTTTTCTTTGCAAGGATTTGTTTCTACATCGTATGGGACAGAAGCAGCTTTCACAGCCTATGAATTCTGAATCTGCCCTTTCCACGTTTTAAATGAATTGCACACACTTTAGGTCAATAAGTAAATTATCTCACAATTTCAATATAACTAACTTTCTCAATTAACATCCTGCACTTCATTAAAAGTTTCTTCCAATTTAGTAATTCTACACCATTTCCTTTCCGCTACATACTCCATGTAAAAAAATAAAGAAACTTTCATCTACAAAACTTATACTTTCTTTCGCAAAAATACAATTCTTTCTTTTACTGTATTTAGCAGCAGTATTAAATCCTTCTCAGACCACTTCATTCGAGGTGGTTTTGGTCACACTGCAGCTATTCTTGGTTTTGCTTTATATCAAATTCACCAAAGCAAAGAAACTAATGTACTCCTTGAAGAATTACATTTTGTTTCTTTACTTATTAAAAATGGAAGGGACTCTCCTCTTTCTCTACTTTTTTTGATAGTATTTTATGATAGTTACATGGCAATGTGTCTCTAAGATATCACTCCATGCCCTGGCAGCACTGTTAATGGCATCTTTCAGATTCAATGACTTACACAAACAATGTTGTTCTCTTCTGTCAACAACAATTAGCAATGCTTTTCTGTAGTTCTTTTGGGAAGCCTGAAAAGCAGACAACCAGTAGCTACATAATGGAAGTTGCATTAGGAGGCAAGAACGTGGCAAAAATCTGGTTAACTGTTGTCGGCTGACCCTCTTGTGTGAAACAGTGTTGTTTGGCAGCAAAATCACCTTTTCTTTCGGTTCTAAAAATGGCCATGAACAGCTGGTATAAACTGTGTGCAGAATGGATTCTGGTGGGCTTAGGAGACTGGTAATGGGATAAGAGACCTTTCACCTTTAGGTCAGTAGTTCAAATTCAGCCCAGGTTAGCAGCAATTGAAAGTCTTTACCATCTGACACTGTTCGTTAGCCTATTTAAAATGACTGAAGCTAAGTGTCACAGTAAAACACGGTAACAGTATAAGAAATACGAAAAGTCTCAGCAAACAGCACAAACAGTTGCTTGAGACTTTACTTCAAAATCCCACCATTAAGACTCTGTAGAAATCTACTCCTCTAACTCCTGACAGCCCCTTTCACTGCTCCCATACTCCTGCTCACCTATCACAATTCATCCTGCAGGCAGTGACACACACCAAGACAGCTCCCCATCCCCATGGGTCTGCTATGGATACCGAAGTCACCACCTCTCTGTGGTTTTAGCTGGCAGTCCAGACTCAGCTCATTCCTTTGCTATTTTTATTTTGCTGCTACTGTTTCCATAGTGTAGCTGCAACATTTTCCAGCACTTCTCTCCACTAAGCAAACGTGCAGCAGGTGACTCTTGACATGCAACAGAATACAGATACCATTAAGAGGTTGTAGAACCAGGAGTTTATAAGCAGTGGAGCTCCAATCAATCAGCAACAGGATTTCTACATACTTTTAGAGATTTGCCAACCGTGCTTTTTATACTTTCATGAGTGGACAAACAGGAAGCAGAAAGAGACATGTTGCACATAAAAATTCTTCCCATCTTTTAGACTAGGCACAGGTAGTTTTGTACAAAGACAAAGCTCTAGAATATATAATTTTCCAGGGGTCAGTAAAATCTGATGAAAAATCTGAAAGTGGTAAACAAAAATCTTAACACTGGATAGTGTTTTATGGGTGTATGGAAGGTTATTTACCTTCACTTTATGCTTATAATCAAATTACTTTAAAAGAACTTAATTTTCATAAAATAAATACTCTCACAGTAACTGTGAACTAAAAACATAGATATGCCATTTGCTTTCAATAAGTCTCTCACAAGCATGTCAGATTATTCTACGAAGTTAATTTCTATTCCCTAAAAAGTTATTACAAAAATATTCAAACTGTCACATGAAGAGAAAACACACATGTATTAACAGATGTCCTTTAAGTACAGACAATACACACTCTTCCTACAAATTCCAAGAGTAACATCTCTAACCTTCCAGCAAAGAACAGAAGAAACTTTTCTAGTGAAAGTCAGCACTTCTGATGGTAACTTGATGAAAAGAATTTGACGTAACTTGGAAGCTAGAAAGACTATCAATCTAAGTGGTCAGAAAATTTTTATTTATTGCAAAGCTCATTTAGTTGTTTTGGACTATGACTTCCCTTGATTAGGCTGATGACAAAGGCAAAACACCACAGTGTGAACAGTTATTAAAAAAAATAAAAATCATATATTCAATATCAGGTCTGCCTCGATTTCAACAATGAACAGTGGTTTTCTGCCTGAAAACCACTCCAAAAGTGCCCTAAATGACAGTATACAGAGTTTTCTGGTAGCTGCTAGGGCAGACATCCCTACGCTCTCTTGCGAAAAGAAAGAGTAACTAGTTTTGCTATGCAATTATCCAATCTCATGTCTCATCAGTTAGCATCTGAAAGATGACAGAAAAGCAGAAGCAACAAAAAGAACATTGACAACAGTGAAGAATAAGTCATTCTAGCTGAGTCACTTAGAGGGAGTAAAACATCTGTAAAAAATTTGTGTAACATACAAGAAACACAATGGAGTTGATTCACCAAATTTTTTTGTTTTTCAATCTCATATAGTATTGCAGTAACACTTAAAACAAAAATTAAATAAAATATAAACTTCACGCAAAGTGCTATTTATACCCTTTTTTTGCACGACCATTGAACAGAAAAGGTATATTCCCAAAGAGTTCCCCAAAAAGACAGCCAAGTAACTATACAACTCTTAGTTACTGCAGAATAATTTACCAAAACACTGAAAGGCATCTGACACATACACCAAAGGGAGGAAGGGGAGAAATCAGCCAGCAATGCAAAGTACTGGTCACAGATTAGTTAGCAAGTATATTCTGAGATATGTATCTCAAGTAAAAATTCTACAGTGATCTGATCAGAGACTGCTGAAACATTAAAACAGACACAGAAAATTGCATAATTTAGTAGACTCATTCTGATGATTCTGGCAGGTAGCTGTGTCTAATGCACACTGACAAAGACCTTAAGAACAGCATTTATGGATTAGACACCCATCATTTTAGGAAGTTCTTCCAGCTGTGGAGTGCTCAGCAAGAATAAGGCAAGTCAGTCTGTTAGCCACTGATCACAGGAGATGCTAAAGGAAAATAAAGACTCTCTGGGACAACCAGAGACTAGTCAGACTCAAGCCGAAATGCTAATTAGAGACAATGCACAGTCAGGATAGAGGAAATACAGAATATCTAAACAAGTAGTGTAATTTAAGAATAGAAAAATTCTTTAAAAGTTTGAAAGAATAAGTTTGCTATTATAGGGGACTGTCAAACTGCTTAGGCTGTATTTCAAAAAGAGTCTTTAAAGTCCTTAAGGATGAAACTGTGAAAGCTTTCTTACTACGTACGTGGAGACCTCTACAACTAAGCAAGTTAGAGGTTTGGGACTACAAACACCACTGGGCATTGCAGGGGGAAGACAACACAAAACCAGCAAAGATAACATCTTTAAAACAAATCACAAAAAGGAGTCCAAGGATATTCCATCACTAGTTCCATTTAGAAACCAATGGACAGTCATATACTACAGCAAGGAAATGGTTTTGAAGTTCTAGTGGATTATGCAGAAAACCATAAATTATTTTTTTTCTGTGTAAACAAGACCGTGGAGTTACTAAAAAACATTGGCTCAAAAACAACAAGAGTGGGAAACGTGTAAAGAATATGACCAAAGAGACAGAATTCTTTCTAATATTTTAATGAACTACACGTTGCCATCAAACACCACCCTCTCTAAGAGAATCTAAGATGGACCTGATAGTTCTGAGCTATAGTCATGTGAAGTGACTGTCACAGCTAATTCCAAAACCACTACTGTCCTGCAAGGCAACAAAAATTTTACCAGCAGCCTTCCCCTGGCACAGAAGATTGCAACCCCTCAAATTCTCTCCAACTTCTTAAACTAAAGTATAAACTTACCTAAATTAGAAATGTACACAATTATCATAAAGTCATGCAAAGATATCAGATTCACGAGGATCTCTTTACATTCGATCACTGCCCATGTGAACAAGCAACAGGCAGGACACAGCACTAATGTAGCTAAACGAGAATGAGATGCTAATCAAACTGTTGTTTGATTCCACATTTCAGTCTTTTGGATGTTATTTAAAGTAAAAAAAGGAGGTTAAAGACAATAGAATGTGCCAGTTTTCTTTCCTATGACCACAAATGCATCACAACAGTCAAATTAGAGGTAGTAGGGGTTTTTCCATAAAACATGGTTTGTCTATTCACTTGCAGTGTACATTACAACAGCTACTACTGACTACATGAGTTGTTAAAAAATCCTACACTATGTCAGCATGCTTCTTCCACAATTGCACTCCAGTTACAATTTCAATCATATGCAGATTGTTAGTGTTTTTATTGCTGATATACACATACAGTTTCAATCACCCTCCTAGAGAAACTCAGCAAGTGATCATCAAAGAATAAAAACAAGAAAGAAACTTCAGGGACCAGTGGAGAGAAGTCTCAGAGCACAGTGGCTAACCACTTACTGTGAACTCACAGTAGCACTTAACAATGACCCCTTGCAAGGTCTTTAGGTCAAGTGTAACAAAGAGCAAAAGCTCTGAACACTTACTCGAGTGCTGTGCAAGGGCTCACTGCTGCAAAGTCTTGTATAGGCAGCCTTATTTGAGTGTGTACATCTTTTAAGTTCTGTGGGAAGTGCATCAAGATACTTATGTTTAAGTCTTTGCAGGAGCAGACCCCTAAGTATGGGAGGAGGTTATGGTCTGTTTATTTAAATAACACTTTTCTGAATCTGAAGAGTTGTTTTTCTTACCTGAAGTCTAGTATTCATTTCCAAGAAGTAGAAATTCTTACTGGAGTCCACAAGGAATTCTACTGTTCCAGCAGAGGAATACTTTACTGCTTTGGCAAGAGCTACTGCTTGTTCTCCCATTGCTCTTCGAGTTTCAGGGTCTAGAAAAGTGCTACAATACAGAAACAATGCCTTTCTGTAGTTAAAAAAAATAGTTATTATTCAGTCATTTCATCTTCTGCTTAAACTATGGACAAAAGAGGACAGCATGATTATTTCAGTTATGAAAATATGTCAGGACTGTCAAATCCATGTCTTTACATCTGTATTACCCCTAAGTAGATATACTGCATGCTTTACAATTACTTCTAATGTACAGGAAATTCAGGATAAATAACCATATTCTCTAAAATGTAAAATAACAGAACACAACTCTGTTAGAACAGTGAGATCTATAATAATGCAAATTAAATTAAAAAAAAACCAAAAAAAACCAAAAAACATACAAATCCATGCTACTTTAGAAGGCATATCTATTTGCAAAAAACCTGTAACTAAAATATCCATCCATTGGAAATATGAATGCCAAAATACAAGACAAGAGGTCTAAGGGGAATTTTTCTGAGTCTGAATTAAACCACTGTGACCATTTAATTGATATTCTATGCAATCAAGAAGTTTTGGAAATTAATGAAGTATTTATTCAGGTTCCTTATGCAAGTAAGGTTGCCATAAAGAATATGTGAGCATCGTCAACACTATCATGATGTGAACCTTCATATCCTCTATTTACTCTTTCAACTTTACTTGTACGCTGAGGATTAGTTATCCATGTTGACTGCAATTCTTTCTTTTCCACAAATCCTAGACACACTCAAGGGCACCCAAAGAGCATCTCATCTACTACCTTGGGAGGCACTGTGAACAAATGCCAAGCTTTCTCATTCTAGGAGAGCACCACACCACTTCCACTGGTCCAATGAAACCAGACTCTGGCAAGTACACATTCTGCTTGTTACTCTTCTCTGTACTCTCCTCTAGTAATTAGAGCTAGATATATTTCTGTGGCATTCCATCAAAGCTGTCAAACTGGTTGCCCCTCAACCTGATATGCTGATCTTCAACGAAAGACAATGTGCAGCTGTTAATCTTATAAAAGATTACAAATATACTCATCATATTTCTGTTGTGACTTACATTAACCACATAAGTCAGTTATAATTTTAAAAGTACTTTAGTAAGGGAACAGAAAGTTACTTCTACCTTTACCTCTAAGTTACTGTTTAAAACTAAAATGCCAAATGTTACGTATTTCTTGAGATGGCTTCAACAGTGAACCCTAATTCTGTAAAAAGCAATCAGGAGCCTCCACCTATCTGAAGTGTCCCCAAAGCCAGTGAAGCTCCACCTAGGGCCCAGGACTGCACTCAGACAGAAGCCAAGTTCTGAGTCAGAACTTGTCTTTCAATATTTACTGTGGTGTTTTTCACTGAGACCTCAACTCACAGATGAGCTAAAGACGTCTGCCACAACAAACCATATTTGACAGGACACAAGAAGTGAGCAAACTAGGAGACAGTGGAATCCTTTTCTTTACTGGAAAAGTGCTATTTCACACCTCTGTCCCTCCAGTGCCCACACAGGCAGATTCTGATGGACCATAAGGCAGGCATTTCCAGAATCTTCTTGGCAAACAATGGGACCAACAAGAAAAGGAAGTCAAGACTCATTCCAAGAAAGCTACCAGATCCTACATCAGATAAAAAGGAAGATCAGAAGATGTCAAAACCATGTCATACCTATCAAGAATAGACACTGGTAAAAGAGTTTCATCATATTTCTTATTTTGATTCAGTAAAAGTATAATACAACACACAAAATCAGCAATTTATAATTCAATGTGGGGTTTCTGCAGGGCTTTGATCGTGAAAGGTCAATGAGTGGCTTATGAAGAACAGAACCTTCTCAATATCAGTTTCATAGCCTATTTCTAGAATAACCATTATTACTTCTCATACAGATTAAAGACAGTTACTCCCCTTTATTACAGAGATGTCTTCCCTATAGTTGTTAAATGTAGGTCTGAGATCTCACTGTTCAGCTCCTGCTGTAACCAAAGAATGGAACACAGGTGTCACATTGCTAAACTTGATCTCTGCCACACAGTTAGGCTTTATGCTCTAAAAATGATTCGATCATCCCTACCATTGGCTTGGTTAATTAGCCAGTTTTCATATTCCCCTCTGCTGCTTTACCTTTCATATACATTGTTTCTCCCTTTTTTAACAAAGTACCTCTTACAACCAAAATAACTTCTCCAATCTAATTAGGCACCACTTGAAAACAGCATTTTAAACCTGACTTCAAATCTTTTGCTCACACATACACCTCTATCTTTCGACAGCTCCTATGGCAGCACTGAAGCTACAAAATAAAGATTCATAAGATAAAAGTATCAAAAAGAAAAATAAGACCTTACACTTCCCTCGTTAGAACTTCATCAAGCTATTGTAAAGTTGATCAAGGGCTATGCAATTTGTTATGACGTTGTTTCTATAGCCAGAGAGATGAACCACATAGGCACAAATATGCTAAAAAAGCACTTGAAAACACAGCTTTGCCCCCATATCTAAACAGTGCACACCTATGAATCATGTACACAGTCACAAACAGAACAGGTTCATGTTTCTCTTAAGCCAAAATCCGTCAAGGATTTCTAGACAAAGTGATAGGAAATGTAGAGTCTGGTACACATACATGCTGCACAACTCTAAGGAGAACTTCTAGACAGAGTCTAATTCAACAATGCACCCTTCTGCTAAGCTCTCTGCCTACATACGTTCATTCAAATGGTCAGTGGAATCAACACAGAAAAGTAGAGATAATGAAGGAAAGTAAGCACACAGATAGCAATTTCTAAGGACTGGTTCACTACGGATGCTAATAGGGATCTTGCATGCTAGTACAGAGTGCAGTGGCAGGGCACTGTTCCATCATTTCCTTATCCAAGGTAGGCCTGAAAATGTAGAGAGAAGGTTTAACACAGCATCCTGGAGCTCAGCATTTTGACATATGATGGTTATAGATCATACTTTGAATATCGTGTTCAGTTTTGGCACCCTCACTTCAAGAAGGACACCAAAGTCTTGGAACATGTCCAGAGAAGGACAATGAAATCGGTGAAGACCCTGGAGCACCAGTCTCATGAGGAGTAGCTGAAGGACCCAGGGTTGTTTAGTCTGGACAAAAGGAGGCTCGGGGAGACCTTATCACTGTCTACAACTACCTGAAAGAAGATTGTAGCAAGATAGGGGTCAACCTCTTCTCCCAGGCAACAAGTGACAGGACAAGAGGAAATGGCCTCAGGTTGTACCAGGGAGGTTTATGTTGGCCATTAGGAAAATTTTCTTCACAGAAAGGGTTGTCAAGCCTTGCAACAGGCTGCCCAGGGAAGTGGTGAAGTTACCATCCCTGAAGGTCCTTAAAAGACATCTTGGGTTTAGGGTCTTGGTTTAGTGTTGAACTTGGCAGTGTTATATTTACAGCTGAACTCAACAATCAAGGATCTTTTCTGATCTAAACAAATGGTCCTATGATTCTAAGTGGTATTCCATGAAAATTGAACCATTTAATGTCTTCTACTACTACAGCAAAGGATAGAAGTGGACAATCACAGCGAGTTGAAGAGCCTTTGTGTGGCACTTCTCCATAATAACATTCCAAAATCTTAATTTTGGGCATCAAATAGTGCAGATTGCCAAGTGCCTCTGAACAAATGAACAGTCCATCACCCAAGTGATATGGTAAATTTAAAGGGCTTTAAGAGGATTCTAACAGGTTAAGAAATAGTTAAGGACATGCGCTCTCACCAAAGTGAAGTTTTAGGGCACTCCTTTGAGTTACTCTTCCAGTTACTGAATAGTATCTCAGTTAATACTCTTGTGCATTTACTTTTGATAGATACTAAGGAATCAAGGAATTTTCTGATAAGTTTATAGGCCTTGTTTCTCCCCATGGGAAACAATCTCTTATTAATCACTTTAGCTAACAGGAAAACGCAGCCACACCCTTGCATTTTTTCTTGCCAAAGTAGAGTCTCACAGCAGCTGTCTCTGAAAATGAACCAAGAAGAGCTTGGGTGGCAGAGGAACAAAAACTGAACTAAGGAACAACAGATTAATTAATGTTACTCATCTCTTTAAATGTCAGCCTCTGTGGTGAAATGAGAAGACAATACGTATTCCAAAATGTGTAAAACCAGAAGCAAATAAAATTACAGTACATCAAATGGAAGTTTTGGGCATCACGAATTTTGCGCAGCACAAAATAAAAAACTAGTGATGACTGGATGTGTCTTAATAAATGTGCTTCCCAGAACAGAGCAGGGCAAATGACCAACGTTAAAAGGGTGTAAGAAAAGTTTGTTAGTTTCCTAGATGAATCTGTGGGATTGACCATCACGGACTCCTGAAGGGATCCCTTGAATACTATAACCCCATCCGTGTGTGAACTAAAGGGGTTTCTCTCCTCATAAGAAAGAGGGGTTTTTGTTTGTCTTTAACAAAAGACTGAACTTCCCTAAGAAAACTGAAGATTCAAACACAAAATGATTCCATAAGGACAAGTTCAACAGACTTAGTTTTAAAGATAAAAGGCCCTCGGTCTCTTCAATTAGACACTTAGGAAAATATTACAGGAATAGAGTAAATCAAAAAAGACTTGAGGTCAATGTCAAAAGCCCTAAATTGTACAAAAGGAAAAAAAAAAACATTTTAGCCCATAGCATCCCTATCTCCTGGGCTTCGTGAAAGGAAAAAAAAAAATTGCTTTGACCTATCTCAGAGATCTTAATGGCAGCTACTACTTAAAATAGAAAAAAAGGACAGTGTATTTCCTCCATCCAGCTGTATAAGAAGAGGTGTGTCCAGGAGCCATTAATCAATCAGACTAACTGAAACAGCACAGCATTCACAGGAAGGGTTAACTGGAGCCTTCAGTGTTTCTATAGTGTCTCACAGAAGTCAGTGCTCTGCAAGTCTTGTAAGCCTTCGAAAATGAATGGATTCTGCAGCCAACTACAAGGGGACCATAAGGCAGGTAAGACTTTCAAAGCTGTCAGCTGAAGTCTGGTAGAGTCTAAAACAAACAACAAGAAGGAAGAGTTTTCATTCCAAATTTTGGAAGCTATTGACTTGACCAAACTCTCTTGTAGAGTTATAAAAGGGGATGAGAAAACTTACTGGCGACTCCAACAGAGAAGCCCAAGGAAGTTAAAAGGCTGATATTTCTGATGAAAGAAACACTCTGATCACAGCTGGCTGGTGAGAGAAAGACATATCACCCCCCTTTAATTGACCACAGGCATGGAGAATGAGCAGGCAGCACTGACAGGCATCACCTTACATATACTCATGAGGCAAAAGACACTCCTCTTTTAAGGGCTTAGGTATATGTATGTGCACATGCACATTATAGTGGGACCTGAAGTATTCACTTTTCACAAAAACATGGTAAGATCTTTATACAGAAGCAGTGTAAGCCTTCAAAGAAATCCACAAGCATGACCAAGAAGCATTTATTAGTGAGTTTCTGTCTCTAAACTTCGTTTTTTAATTTAAAATCAAGGTCCAACAGTGTAAGTCCTGTAGTTATGATCCAAAATTAACTAATAAACCACCTCTAAATAAACACCAGTTGGATGATGTGCTTTTTCCTCACATCCCAAATTGTTGCATCATAGTTCATGAAACCCACTTGAGCCAGTGAACATATTACACTGGGAATTCCCACAAGCAGCAATATACCCATGTCTGACTTTCTGAAATCAGAAGTTCCTGCCACCCTTTTTCTAAACTTACTCTCCAATGAAGGCCATGTAACAGAAAACACAGCAAGACCATACCTTGCACAGCAGCAAGGTATTTCAGCTTCAAGTGAAAACAGTGAAATTAAGATCATTTAGCACTTTTGAGTTACTGGACACATACATCTCTAGTTCACTACCATGAATGGTACTAAACCATTCCATTTGAAAATGGAAATATACAGAATTATGTGGCCCTCCCACAATTACTCTAACATAGTCAAATATCTGCATCTGTAGTAAAATTCATACTTACTCCATATTTTACTTTTATATCCAAAAGTGAACAAAGAAAGATCTCAGATATACTAAGAAAGCCATCTCATACCACATATATTTGATTAGTTAAGATCCAAATCCATTTTATACAAAATCATGAAAAAATGAGCTACACAACACCTGTTTTCTTGAAAGACATTGTAAAGCACTGTCAAAACACCCTCAAGAACAACATCAAAACTGCATTACAATCAAATGACTATGATAAACATTTATTTATTTTCTTTGTGGTTTTTAATAGAATAAAATTTGCTTGCATTTGTACAACAAATAGAATCAGCAGCTTTCCAAAAGTACTTTCCATTATGATGAAGCTGTATCAATAATCTAGTACTCATACCTTGGTGCTTCCTCCACAACTTTCTGGTTTCTCCTTTGAATGGAGCATTCTCTCTCATTCAGCCACAAGGCATTACCGTGCTTATCTGCCAAAATCTAAAACAATAACACACCACTATTAACAAAGATATGCACATGTACAGTCTTTTGACTTCATACTATTATGCAGCATTTAGTTGTTCGGTTTCTTCCAATCTAAAATAGGAGCTGGGAAAAAAAGCTTATGGTGAAAATTAATTGTATATGAACTACTAATAGAATGCTCCTTTAAATTCTGAATAGGACTATTCTAAAGCCTCTATACAGAGTCTGTATGTCGCAAAAAAAAAAACACTCCAAAATATGATTTCTGATTTTTTGGGAGCTTATTACAGAAGACTGAAATAAGATTAAAATTACATTTTAAAGCATTTTAAGTTTGCATAGCATTATGAAATTACACAAAACCATATTGTTAGGCAAAATCTTGTGTCAACAAAGATGAGAAAAATCACCAAGGATGCCAAATTTTGCTCCTGAATTACACAAAAGAATTTTCAGAAAGAACGGCTAATGCAGCTTTCTTAGTAGGTGAACCACAGTGCCCTGTCTTCAATGAAGAAGAAAAAAATCTTCAGAAACTTTACTATCTTTTATTAAGGAGGAGAAAATCTGCAAGTTCCTTAGTACTTTCAATGGAAATTAAAGCAGTAGTTTCAAGGAATTTTTTTATAAATCAGGTATCAACTACAGTTCTTGGTTGCAGCTTCAGTTCATAGAAGAGGTAATGCAGAATGAAGTATCTGGATCCAACTACCTAAATTACACACTAGAAGAAAAACCACAAGTTCAGCACAGCAGAACTCCCAACTGATTCTGCAACTTCAAACTAGAGGGAGAAGTAAAAAAAGGAATTCTGTACCTTTATGAAATTGAAGGTATGGTGCAGCCATTTCCAATATCCAGATACTAGATTTGAGGATTCAAGCAGACTTCTTCCACTCTTATGATGTTATACTCTGCACTTACTCTTAAAACAATTTCTTTCATCGCAGACCACACCTGCTCCCTTTCTTCCTTATAAAATTTTCCCTCTAACCCATTTTTTTGTCATCTATCTTCCTGCTCCAATCTGCGGGAACCCATGCCAATATTCATGCTTCATTCTTTAATAGCGCAGTTCTACACTGAAAACCAACAAGGTAAAACAAAGAGACAATCTTCCTCAAACTGTGTGAACTCAACCATATCTACTCACATTTGTGACAACGAATCTGTATTATTTATTATTCCTTTTAGCACCAGAGAGTGAATATGGCACTAGGTAAGATGAATTCCTGCATCTATGACACCAATGGCTGCTGAGGCGTGAATAATCTGGGTAGATGTAACTGAAAAGGAGGCAGTGAACTCATGAAAAGAACTCACGTGTGCTGTGCAGCATCAGATCCAGGGTGCTCCAAGCACTGTAGGATCAGATGTAATTTTTTTCCCAGAAATTCTGTTGTGCACCCATACACTTAAGGAGTTTTCTAGTGGAAAAAAAAAAAAGCCCCTTCAAAGAGGTCTAGATGATTGACAACTTCAGAATTTCCTAAACTACAGCATGTCCCAGACTCCTCTTCTTCCCTGCACAGGGGGAGGTTTGAGGGTGCTCCAACCAAGTGCTAGATTCCCTAACAGGGGACTCAGCACAAAGATTTAAAAAAAAAAAAAAGGAAAAAAGAAATACCCAGGTACTTCCTACCCAAGTCTTCACACATCCAATCCAGATGAGTGGAGCTCTACAGAAACTTATTTGGGAGATCCTAAGATTTTTCTGACTGGGTTTTTTTGTGGTGGTTTTTTTTTTTTTTTTTTTAAATATTAAAATATTACACTTATAGAACATAGCATGGGACTCAATGGAAAAATCACTGTCCTGTAAGTAGAATGATTCCCTGTGAGCACTTCTGTTTCACTGTTAGAAAGCCCACATCTTTCCAGAGAATTCAGCATCACCACAACAATCAAAGAGTCCTGGAATATTTCAATAAAAATGAGTTCCTGTGCTTCTCTCCTGTCTCTGTATTTTCCTGAAGAGGATAAAATTTCTCAATCCAAGTAGTAAATATTTTCTTTTCACTTCAGGACATTTCTCATATCCTGACATATCAGGACATTTCGGTAACCTGGATCTTAAATAAATGTTTTTCAATTAGTAGTTAATATGGCTCCAAGAGACATGCAGGAACATTTACTGTGAGAAGACAATTATAAATAGAATAAGCCAACAACATGTAGCATGTAGCGTTAACCCTTTACTTTTATTCTGTGACCGTTGTTTTTCTTACCTGAAACTAATCATACAACAGTTGTCTTTCAGAAGATACTTGCAAAATACTGAAATCATCCTCTCTGAAGTGACATGAGATTCCAGTACACATCTCACTAAAAATGCAGGTCACACATACAGCTTTTTTTTTACATACCTAAATATTTCTAAAAGAAAATTTCCTGTTCTGTGGGATTACATGATTATGACATTAGTATATGCTACATACATCTATATGCCAAAATAATTCAATATTATGTAGCAGAACCTCTCCTACATGATTCAGCTAAATTCTCTTTCCAGTTGTAGGATTGCTATTTAGCCAAGTAATAGACAGTCCACGTACTCTTACTTTAAACTCAAGTCCTTTTTATCAGATACTTCAGGAGAACAAACTTCAAATCAGTTCAAGCATAAAGTCTATTTGGACTCTATTTTCCTGTTAATTGTTTTAGTTTTTTCTCATGTTTTAAAAAGTGATTGTTTTATAGCTAGACACAGGAAACTCCTTATTTAACAATTTTAAGTACCAATGCTTTGGAGAAATATGAGAATGCTAAAAAAAAAAAGTCCTATTTAAAAGTTACTGCTAAAGTAATAAATATTTGGCATCTGGTCTCAAATTGTTTGTATATTCAGCAGTTTGAAAATGAACCAAGGTCAACGTCCTAAAGCTGATTAGAACATGAAGTTAAAATGATATGCTATGATATTGTTAAAAGGTACCATCAAAGTGTTTGTGTAAGAAAAACATTCACTGTACACTTACTATAAATACAACTATAAATCATTAATAGCAAAGACATTTTGTTTACTCTAAGTGAAATTATTCAACAGTTCTTAAATACAGTACTACCTAATTTTTTGAGGTAACTTTTTAAACCCAAAGGAATCAAGACAACATAAAATCTGCCCCCAGCTCATGGAAATAAGAAGAATCAATCCCACCTAACTTAATTCATTGAAGAATCAGTAGGAATCTGCTGAAGCTCCCAAATCTGTAAGCACTGAAGGAAACAGATCTTTAAGGTGTACTGATTTGCATGCACAAAAAAAACCAAACAAGAAACCACATAGGTAGCTGAATATTACTAGCCACAGCAAGAGAATACAGAAAGATGCTCTAGCAACCTGCCCTCTTTCGTAACTAAGATAAATGCTGAAACTTATAGTTCACTATATACCTTTCCATGACCCTTCAAAAGAGAATAAGGTGGGGTTTAAATTTCATTTTTACAGTTTCTTCATTTTGCTGTTTACAGACTGTTTATTTCAATGTTTCTCTTCCTCACTTCTCCCCCTCTACTCCTCTCTGGTAAGATCCCACCTGGAGTACTATATCTAGCTCTGGAGTCCTCAGTTCAGGAAAGACACTGACCTGTTGGAACAGGTCCAGAGGAGGGACACAAAAATTATTATATGAACTGAACACCTCTCCTGAGAGGAAAGGCTGAGAGAATTTGGGTTGTTCAGCCTGAAGAAGAGAAGGCTCTGGTGAGACCCAGTTGCAGCTTTTCAGTACTTACAGGGTGCTGATAAGAAAGAGACAAACTTTTATCCAAGCCCGTAGTGACAGGACAAGGGGAAATAGCTTTAAACTACAATAGATTTAAACTATATACAAGGAATAGATTTTTTTTTCCCCACTATGAGAGTGGTGAAACACTGGAACAGGTTGCCCAGAGAGGTAGTGGATACTCCATCTCTGGAAACATTGAAGATCAGGTTGGACAGGGCTCTGAGCAACCTGATCTAGTTGAAGATGTCCCTTCCCACAGCAGGGGAGCTGGACTAGATGATCTTTAAAGATCCCTTCCAACCCAAATTATTCTACAATTCTATGAAATGTAGTAAGTTAGCCTAAATAAATAAAAACATAGGAAGTCCACAACAACATAGAAAGGGTTTATATTTTGGATAAAAATAAATGAAATTTCTGTGTAACAAGTGAAATTTCTGTTCAGGGAACAAAAAAAGCTTCATATAGATTTCTTGTCAGGAAGTATTATCTCAAGGCTAATGTCGAACACAAAAATTTAGTTGCCTAGATAAGATCAAACATATCACAAATTTTGAAATCATAATTTTGTTAGCAAGTGTCTGAAAGAAACAACTTTTGTTCTGCATTAGCATATGCGACTTAATGCTAAATCCAATAAATTGCATAAATGGTCACAATCCAGAAGTTAAAGAGAATACAACTGATTTTAAACCACAAACTGACCGAAATGGGACACAAATCCTCCTGAGTTCCCAGGGAGCATTAGATACTTCACAACAGAATCCAAAATACTGACAAAACCACCCAGACCTTGCAAGAAAAATGTTAAGAACACGAGTGTTTGAACTCCTACATCCTCTCTGCTGCACTCAAGCTCTCCAATAGGATCCAGAGTTCAAGCTCCATCCCTCAGGACAGATGCCTATAACTTTTTTTTCTCCCCCAACAAACTGAACACACCTCACAGTCTTCCTGCTACAGAAAGGCTAGAGAATAAAAACAGGAAGGCTGTACTGTGCATGATAGCCACGCAGTTTGAGCAATGACCCAAGACACCGGAAAACACAAGACTCTAGGCCTTTTTTAGTGGAGTGTTTGAAATGTTTTGAACTTTGATTCATTTATGAGTTCAAACCTTATTAAAGAAATATACAATAATTAATAGTAGTAATAATAACAATAGTACAAACCTGGATTTCTATGTGACGAGGGTTATCAATGAACTTTTCTATCAGCAAGCGATCATCACCAAAACTTGAAGCAGCTTCTTGAGATGAAAACCTAAAACCTTCCCTTAAATAACAAAAACAAAAAGAATACTCTGTATTTAAAAAGTTAGATCAGCTCCTGAAGTATAATGAAGGAACAGTTATTCATTTCAGTCATCCAGCTGCCTTCATCAGTGAATACACACACATCCAAAAACCAAGTTTTACCATTTGCATTTGATTCTATAATGAGTATCCTTTTTTCTTGTTTTTCTTACAAAGACAAAAAAATCCAAAACAACAAACCCAAAACAAAACATTCTTAAAACACAGAAAACTTCAGTGTGTTTAAAAAGTCCGAGTATTTACAACATTTCCTTTGTTGGTATTTTCTTCTGCTAAAGTAATAGAATTTTAAGATGCAGTAATTACAAAGTACTTGTTGTCCAGAAGGTGAAGCTCACCATTACCTAAGGAAAACAGCCCTCTTAATACCCAAGAACAGCAGAGGTTAGTTGCACATTAAAGACCTGTAAACATGACACTTCAGACATTGAAAATCCTACCACAGAACACACAGTCTAAAGATGCAAAACGTCACTTTATAGAGCATACCACCTGGACTACAAGTTTTTCCCTGCATTAAGGTACAAGTGAGTGTCATATGAAACATTCCATATGCTTGCCTCTGTTTTCTCTTTTACAGATCTAGTTACTCAAACAAATAAAGATTGCAAAATATTGTATTTCTTAGCTTTTTTTTTTATTTTTTAATGGCATCATGACCTGACAAACAACTTCATGGACAGCTTTCTCAGGGTGAAACAGAACATAATGCAGGGACCCAAAGGCTTCACTGAAATTTTCTACAGGCTCTGGTATATTAGTCCCATTAATGTTGATATATATGGTAAGTTTGGACTAAATTTCTGTGGGAAACACAGCTTCCCTGACATTTGGGCTCAGAATAAGAACTACAGCCCAACTGAGTAGAAGTTTCCATGCTTTCCATCTCTTGAATCTAATTGAATTCCACAAACAAAACCCAGACAACAGAATCACAGAATAGGTAAATTTACAGTAGAAAGATTTGTGTATTTAAAAGTGTATCTTCACCTTCTTTCACAATTGTGGAATAATACATGTTGTAATTTTGACAGATTATACTCAATGTACAACTTCCCTAAATTCATGTCTAACTTCAACATATTGAATTACTTAATAAAGAGAAAAAGGAACATCAAAATTTGTGATTCCATACACTATCTGATCTGTCCAAAAAAACAAAGTGCTGTAACAAACAACCATACACAGTGTTTGTTACTGAAATACATTTACAGCTATTTTAACTCCTATATCAAAGGCACCATTCTGTTTTGTAAATATTCTGCTGTCACACAGTTTTATGCACAATTATTCACAACTGGCTTTTTTTTACTGAAGTATGTGCTAATTAGAAACCTAAACTGCAATACTTGTTTAAAAAATGCCTAATTATCTAATCCATACATCTGTAAATGTTTTTGAACTGTTTATAACAGGAACAAATATCTCAGCTATTCTGACCTTGTTTGTATCTTACAAAACTGTGCAGTTACATTTATTCAGTGAAAAAAATTCATATAAGTAAACTTCACTTTCCTTAGAGACCATACTAACCAAATGGAGACGGTTCTGAATCTCTTTATGAATATCGAAAATAAAGAAATCCGTACCCAGCCAGTAAGGTTAGAAGAGATTGTGTCTTAAGAGCCCCTCCACAAGGAAGAGGCAGCACAACTGCAGCAATGCATGCAATCATGTCCAAAACTTTCCTGCCCGTGCTAACCCCAGAAAAGAAGGGCATGGGAACTTGGGACAGAGAAACATGAGCTTAATGTCCCTGGTACGATTTACCATACAAGCAACATGCCATGCTGTCTGCAGCCTAATCAACTCCTGATACTTGACAAGGCACAGTCATTCAGGCTGATGTGCCTCACCCATATGAAGACTATCACTGATATCTCTACGCTACAACTCAAAGTAAAGAGGAACTCTGCTCAGAGGATTCCTGATCAGGGGCTCTGTACAGACCCACACTTCAAACACTACCCATCTGACTACCATGATCATCTTCAGTCTTCCAGTGCAGCCACCTGCACTAAACCGAGGGGCAGAGAGTGAGGAGCATGGTCTGTCCATCAGGCACTCCCAGGCACCCCACGCTACGGGCACCCCAGCTGAGCTGGTATGCAAGCAGCACAGCAAAGAGCAGCAGCCAGGGGGCTTTGGGAGGAGACTTTTGGTGGTTTCTCATGAGGAGAAGCTGGTGGTACTTTTGACAGGAGAGCTGATTTAAGGTTTTTCTTAAGTTCTCATTAACTTTTATTGGCAGGTTTCTTTTGGGTTTTTCCCCTATATGCAGATTTGCTGCTTTCAGATGCTTCTGTTACTTTCTGCTAGAAGCTTCCCAATCAGGTTGAGCTTGGAACAGGGCGGATGAAAGGCCACCACAGCCTATGTTTAAGGTAAGCGGGAAACACCACTGCCTCTCCACAGGGAGTCAGCAAAGGTGGGGAAGGGGGAAATAAAAAAAAAAAGTCAAGATACCCACCTTAAGCAGCTGTACATAAATGCACATGACCAAGGAAACAGGAGCCAGAGTTGGCATGTAAACAGAACTGCAACATCCTGAGAATAGCTAGCATGGTCACACAACTGCAGTGCTGCAATGAATGGCCTACCCAATTATTAAAACAAGCAGTAAGAAAGGGCAGGTCAAATATATGGAACTCTTCTTGGGAAAGGGCAAGAAGGTAAGAGCTGGAAGGTCTGGATCAAGGATGAGGCCAGAAACGGTAATACTGCAGCACAAATTTTTTTAAGTTCACCTGCTCAAGCTGATAAAGGGGGCAAATTCTTCTTTAGGCAAATCAAAGTCTTCAAGACCTTGAGTGACCAGGCTCAGAGAGTGGTGATAAACAGTGCTGCATCCAGTTGGTGGCCAGTCACTAGTGGTGTCCCCCAGGGATCAGTGTTGAGCCCAGTCTTGTTTAGTATTTTTACTGATGATCTGGGCAAGGGGATTGAGCAAATTTGCAGATGACACCAAGTTGTGGGGGAGTGTCGATCTGCTGGAAGGCAGGAGGGCTCTGCAGAGGGACTTGGACAGACTGGAGAGATGGGCTGATTGCAACAGGATGAAGTTCAACAAGGCCAAGTGCCAGGTCCTGCACTTTGGCCACAACAACCTGCAAAGCACTACAGGTTGGGAACAGAGTGGCTGGAGAGTAGCCAGGTAGAAAGGGATCTGGGGGTTCTAATCAACAGGAAGCTGAACATGAGCCAGCAGTGTGCCCAGGTGGCCAAAAAGGCCAGTGGCATCCTGGCCTGGATCAGGAACAGTGGGGCCAGCAGGAGCAGGGAAGTGATCCTTCCCCTGTACTCAGCACTGGTGAGGCCACACCTGGAGTGCTGTGTCCAGTTCTGGGCCCCTCAGTTCCAGAAGGATATTGAAGTGCTGGAGCAGATCCAGAGAAGACAAGGCTGGTGAAAGGACTCGATCACAAGTCCTATGAGGAGAGGCTGAGGGAGCTGGGATTGTTCAATCTGGAGAAGAGGAGGCTCAGGGGAGACTTCATCACTACCTCATCATCTACAACTACCTAAAAGGAGGTTGTAGCCAGGTGGGTATTGGTCTCTTCTCCCAGGCAACTACCAGTAGGACAAGAGGACACAGTCTTAAGTAGTGTCAGAGGAGGTTTAGGTTGGGCATTAGGAAGAAGTTTTTTACAGAGAGAGTGATTTGGCATTGGAATGGGCTGCCTATGGAAATGGTGGATTCACCGTCCCTGGAGGTATTTAAGAAAAGACTGGATTTGGCATTTAGTGCCACGGTCTAGTAGACAAGGGGCAAAGGTTGGACTCGATCTCAGAGGTATTTTCCAACCTAGTTTATTCTGTGATTCTGAGTGTTTGTGTGGTTTTGATTTGGGGTTTTGGGGCTGTGGGTTGAAGGAGGTAAGGGTTGGCTTCTTCACAGTTTGGGGGTGGGGGGGTGGTCTGTTTGGTTGTTGAGGGGTTTTTACCAGGAAAATAACATCCCTGATATCTGTTGGAACAGGAACACAGAAGATCACAAGCAGGGAGGTTTCTGATGGATGTTGGGAACAACTTCAACACAGACATTAGATGGGCTGAAGAAGAACTACCAGTAGCAGAAGGTGATGATCTCTTAAGGAACTGACCCACAGAAAGTCAGTCAGGATGCTAAGAGAGGTAATTTGTGTCATTGTAAGACTGTCCCGCCACCTTTGAAAGGCTTTGGAGGTCAGCAAAGATTTGTGATAACTGGAGGAAGACAAACATTGCACCCAACTTTGAGGAGACCATGAAAGAATCATAAAAACTACAAGCCGGTCAGCTTCACTTTAATTCTGGGAAAGTAACAGAGAGTAAGATGTCCTGAAAGCTATTTCTAGACATGTAAGACAGTGACTGCAACAACAGCGTATTTGTTTCTAAGGTAAAACATTACAGTCTACATGGGTGCACAACTACATGGGGGAAAAACTGGCACTTTATTATTGTCCTGGAATGTACCACCACCAGTCTGTGGATCATGCTAAAGTTTCTGTACATCAATATATTCAAGGGCAAGGCAGCATTTCAGAGACCTAGACAGTCTCTCAGATAGGAATGGCCTCACAAGTATCTCATGAATTTCCACAAGAACAAAAAGTAGAGTTCTGTGCCTATCACAGAATAATCACCCCTGCATTGATACAGGCTGTGGAACTGACTGGCTGCTTAAGATTACTTGCAATCTAACAGGTCCCGCAATCTAACAGGCTGCAGAGCGAGTGAGCAGTGCACCTGGCAGTAATGAAAGCCAATGAAACGTGGCTGCATCAGCAGACCAACAGCAGCAATTATTCTCCTTTGTTCAGCACCTGTTAGACCTGGTCAGTACCTATTCAGACCTGCTGCATCCAGTTTTGGACACACCTCGTACTCAAAGATGTTGATAAGCTCAAGTAAGGTGGTCAAAGCACACACAGAGCTAGGTTTGTGGAACCTGAAACACAGTAAGGCTTAAGTGGACATCTAATAGCAGCCTTCCAGAGGAGCTTTCTCATGAAGCCAAGCTCTTTATTGCAATGCTCAGCAAAAAAATAAAGACAGGTGCCATAAAATGAAGTGGAAGTTTCCAACTGGATGTGAGGACAAAAATTACTGGAAAGAATGGAGAACAGTAGGCTGTTTAGGAAGGCTGTGTAATCTCAGTGCCAGACTCAATGGGCAAAGCTCTAAGCAATCATCTTCAAAACAGAGTGCTGATGCTACTAAGAGGATAAATCTGGATGAGATGATGTTCCTAGATCCCTTCAAACATGCACAATTCTATATGGGGAAAAACACAACATCTCTAAGGTTCCCTCCTCTCTCTACAGTGCATTTATTCACACTAAAGTTTGAGTTCTACAAAAGCATTACTGATCTTGCCACAAGCCTTCCTGTGGTTGTCTGAAGTAAAATAGTCATGCCAACTTTCTGTCTCCAGCTCTGAGATCAGCACTGCTGCTTTAATTAAAACAACAACTTTTTTTGGAGGCAGCCAGACACTAACAACAATAGACTTCAGTAAGATGCTTCAGATACAGGCATTTTTTCAAACCTCTTCAGGTCACTGCTATATTGAGTTAAAGGCAATTCTATCACAACGTATTCCCTGAAAGTTACTGATTCATCAAAAAGTACACGTGTTTCAGGCAACTGAACAGCTTTTGTACTGGAGGAGGACAAAAAGGGATGGGGGGAGAGGATTAAAAAAAAATTCAAGCCTTGCACAATGTTTCCAACTCGTACATTCCTTTTTTTCTTTCCCAACTCTAAGTCACCTGCAAAATGCCTAAAAAACAACTTGTTTCTAGTCAGTGGGCAGCTTACTTAATACCAACACTAACAAAATGGCAAAGAGCCAATTTCTTATATCACAACTTATGTCTTCATATTTTCTCTTTTTGACATATCCTTGTGCTGTATATACCATACAATGAAAGTCACTAACAATAAAAAGTCATTGTTGAAGCTTTGTGCACTTACATGATGGTAGTACATGATCCAACCCCTGAACACAGGAACCACAGGATATGCTCAGTCAGAAGGGACCCACGAGGACCATTGAGTCCAGCCCTCAGCCCTGCACATTATTTCTATTAGAAATAGTAGCTGAAAGGTAACAAATTTTAGCTATAGCTGTAATAATATAATAATTATAGAGGATCTAGAACAATTGTCATTACTTGGCATATTTAAGGGATGTGAAAGATGAAGCACCAGTAGGTTGCCAGTAAGTTTCTCTAACTAGTAGCAATTAAATTGGTCACATCCATCTTTTCCAATTCCAGTGCCTATTTCCATGTCAGGCCACATACATTTAAGCCTTCTTATACCACACATTGAAACAAGAAAGTTTTTCAACTATCCTGAAAATCCAAAATTATATTTCAAACATGGAAAAGTTCTTCACCTGGAGTGGGGCTGGATACTGGAACAGGCTCCCCAGGAAAGTGGTCACAGCATCAAGCCTGTCAGTTCAAGAAGCGTTTGGACAACACTTCCAGATACACAGTGTGTTTCTTGGGGTTCTCATGTGCAGGGACAGGAGTTGGACTCAATGATCCTTGTGGGTCCCTTCCAACTCCAGGTATTATATGTTTCTATATAAAGGCTTTTTGTTTTCAAATAGTATTTTAAATTAATCCCATGAGACAAAGCCAAAACAAATTTACAGATCAAAATATTACCAACAGTTCTTCACACTCACCTTTCATCTGTGAACTCTGAAATGCAACAGACCATTCAGATATTGGATTTTCAAAGTCTGCCCATAGCTGAAAATTGGTTTATTTTTAGGATTACATGGATCTGGATGCAGGAAGACTACACATGAGATTACAAACTTTTTATGCAATATTAAAACTATCAGATACATTATTTTGTCAGCAGTTCAGTCACCTTCAACACAGTGAGATGTTCTTCTTCAGACACATAAAAAGGAGCAATCTTAGTTCCATAACACATCTAATGAATATGTACATTAAATTTTTTACAACCTCACAGATATTTGATATTTCTTCAACACAGACTGGAAGATAAACTGAAATGCTCTACTTCATATTTAAATCCGAAGTAAATCTGTTCGTCTTCAAGTTCTCTTAAATCTCACTTTCATCTTCCTGCAACAAATATTTTGTCAACTTAATTTTGCCTACCCATAAACTTTAAAACAAGCATTTCTTCTTGATACAAGCTCAGTAAACAGTGTTGATCTGTGACTATCTCAGTGTTCCTTCTCTTAGCACCTTTTAGAGACTACTCTAATATTACATTATAAAGACAAGGCTTGCATAACCAAGAGGATTATTATAAGAACACCACTGGTAAATAATGAGCTGAATGATACTTTGTGGGTCCCTTCCAATTCAGGATATTCTATGATTCAAAGGCTTTCCACAAACAAGGTAAGCAACTCAAATTATCACTAAATAGGATGGAATCAAAGTAATATCACTCAATTAATTTAGTGATATTCAAACGTACATAAAAGAATATCTCTAGCTAGTTTCTATTAATACCAATCAGCTTTACCAGGTGACTTTCTAAACAGTAACCACAACTTTTCTCCAAGACAAATTGGCAATCATGATTTTAGATCCACTTTAAAACAGTTACTTTTATCAAGCTCCTTTGCTCCTTTCTGAACAAAACAAGAAACTAATGCCTTCAAGTCCAAGAGATGCAATTACTGCCTGAATAAGTTCAAGGTAACAATTTTGGATTATAAAGCAGTAGGAAGGAAGCATCCTTGTAAGAAAGCTGGTTGTTCTAAATTTACAATTATGTCCTATTTACATTTGAATATGAATGGACTAGAGATAACAAGGTACAAATAAGCCCACCATGTTTTCTTTAAATCTAAAATTTAACTGCTAGACATTCATTGGTCTTTTATTCAGATTTTAGGTTTTGGTAAACATAAATTTAATAGAGGACAGAAAAATGTCAGGGAAATCTTGCAGGCGACTAAATTAAACTAATGAAAATTTCAGTTGTATTTTGAGTTAATTCCAGCACATGTGCTGCTCTCTGTGGAAAGGAAAACAGTCAGGTTATTTTGGATCAAACAGGCTTCTTGTTACAAGTCTTTGAAAAAATCAGAAAATACATTTTTCTGTAAGATCAGTGGCATGTGGAGTTGAGAATGGATTGTAAAACTTCGAACCAAAAACAAAGCATTACGAACTGTTCAGGATTCAGACAACCACTAAGAGACACAAAAATGTCTGTGTGTTTAAACAAATGTTGTTTCAAAACAGACAAAAGCACAATAGTTTGCTGAGGTAAATACTTTAAACACAGAAGTACGCAATTTATTAGAGCACATTCTGGTAACACCGTATGTGTTTCCACACATGAATTATCAGTCTCATCAACTTCAACAGAACTAATGGCATGCATTAATGTTTGCAAATCACGGCCAATAAATATTCTCCCTAAGAGAGACAATTAAAAAATCAGCATTCTGAAAGGCATACAGTAAAATGTTATTTACACTCTAAATTTACAATCTCGCACTGGACTAAAGGTAGTTGTAAGTGTTGGTTTTTACACAAGTTAATGGACCACATTTTGTAAGGTTTATGTGAGAATTAATTTGAAATAGACACATGCACAACTTCTGAAGTATACCACTCACTATGTGAAAGGGAGAAAACCAAATAATATCCAATTTCTCTGTCTAACATTTCATATCTGCTCAACTGTCAGCTCACAGTGGCTTAATGGGACTTTGGAACTGCAGCATTCATCAAGGCAAGCTTTTGGACAGCATCTCACCTGGTCTCTTCATCATCCCAAGCGATTCTCATGCCTTTCCCACCACCACCTGCTGAGGCCTTGATCATGACAGGGTAGCCTAACAGCGGGGAACAATTAGACAGAAGTTCAAACTTTGTTCAGTTGGTCAGAGGAACATGACAACTGACCACATGTCCAATAAAGCCAGTAGACAATAACTCCGTTTATTAAAACACTTTGTTTGGAGGGAGAACAGAGGAGAAATTTTTCTTTTCAAAAGTTAGCTGTCAATGCAGTAATTTCTAAAGCCAAGAAAGGCTGTCTTCTCTAATTCATTTATACCAAAAAAACACTGAATGAATTATTCCCAAGAAACAAAGTGATTTATGAATAAAGCATTTGACCTTTTTAAGCTCACATCTCTTTATGAACAAAATGTTGTTCCTTTATTGCTGCTGAAATAAACTGTGACAAAATTTTTCAAAAAATTAATAGCAAAAATAAGTAGATCTTCATAAATTAATAGTAAAGAGATTGAGTAAGCAATTCTGTATCTTATCAACACTTCTGGTGCAGTACATTTTAAATAACAGAGCATCTCAAGAGCACTGCTGTTTGGCTATTATGAAATTGAATCAGAAAACAGATTATTGCTTTTTTTTTTTTACAATAAAAAAAAAATCTTCCCCAAATAGACAAGTAGTAAGAAAAAATGAGCAATATAGTTCCGACAGCATTGTAAATAACTGGCAATATTTTACTCTCCGAATAAGATACTATTATACAGATTTGAGTCAGGATCTTAGTTTACTGAAAACTAGAAAATTACAGTAACAAAGAACACACTTGAAAAGCAGATACAGTAATTTAAAAGATTTAGAAATAGTAATGATTGTTTATTTTTTCATACAATCTGTTCATTTAAGGCAACTTCCTGAAACAATTTCTTCATATCGGAAAACTCCACCTTTCTCCACGTCGACATACAGAAAACTGAAAATTGAGGATCTAACTAAAAAGCTTTTGGTGTTTCCAAGACAGCAAAAAATTCTTAATGCCTTTGGTCTCCAGTATGTTTAATCAAAGTCACAACACCAAGGCAAATATCAAACCAGCTGATATCGTCTGGCAAGAAGAGTCTATTAGTCCTTGCAAACTGAAGATACATTCTGTAAAAGGCTTTGATCTGGGGACGGAAAGCGACATTTGACTATGGTTCTTAGAAGCGGTCCAGTCTGCTATCATTTGTGTAACTGACATTACAGTTCCTTTCTGGAATGCAGATCTACTCTTGCTTTGTCAAGTGACAGCAATACAACACGCCCACCTCCTCCCCATAGTCATCCAACTGAAAGGAGGTTCAGGAGAAGATGCTTAGAACAGCAAGATGTGGAAAAGCTTTTTCTTAAAAAGACTGAAAGGGACACCAAAAAAAAGCATGATACAAGGGTAAGAAACAATAACATTGATTGGAAGACAGGAAAGCAGCAACAGTACAAGAGAACAAAAACAAAACAAACAAAAAAATCCATGACACAGTTTTCAACATAACACCTTATTAGACTGTGAAACTCCCATGCTGTAAAGCATTCATGTGGCTGAAAGCTGTAGAGAGGTAATAATTAAGCATATGTAGAGCACAAATCAACTTCCAAAAGGCTACAAATCTTCATGCTTTGAAGTCTGAAGTGATCTCTAGTTATTAGGTATAAGGGTAAGACCAAACAGATCCATGCAAATAACCTTTCTAGAGTCTTTTTCTTACGAAATCTGATGCTGTCCACAGAGGTATACGGGATAAGTCACAGAGTAAAAATGGGTTCGATCCAGAATTATTTAGTATTTTCAAGGCCTCTACAATCCCAGAGATTAAAGGGTAAAGGCAAAATAATACTAGATGGCATACAGCAACAGTGAAGTTCAACTGATTTTCATGAAATACTGTCAATGTTAACATATATATACAGGTAACACTAGCAAATGTAAGCCTCTGGCAACACTGTCACCATCTGGAGACTCTCTCCAACCTAAGAGGCTGCAAGACTGAAATTTTACAACAAACATTGTTTTAAGCCTTATTACGGTAAACTCACTATGGCAATTTCCATCACCTAATCTATCTTATTCAGAATTACATGTACTTGAAAAAAATCATTATCAGTTATGCTAACAATTTCAGTCTAACAATATCCGTCTCTTGAATGGTTTGCTGATTTTAATTCTGTAAGCAGAGTCTAGTCCTCATTTTCTGTTCTTTAGTTTCAAAAGCAAAATAGGCAGGTTGACAGTGAGCCTTGGTGAGGCTTTCTATGCTACAAGATGTAGTTCATATATCACATGGTCAAATTATCAGACAGATGTATTATTAGTTTTGCTCACCAGGTGTAAGACAATTGTGCTTCCCCTCCCTCCCACCTTTCACGTATAGCAATTGTATGTCAACCACACCTGTATGCAAGGCAGCTAAAGACTCCAGAGAGCCACAAAATAATTAAAAGTAAAATGAATTTTAAAAACAAACAAAACCCAACCAAACAAAAACTAACAAACAAAACAAAGTAAGGCTTGTTTTGAAAAGATACATACAGTTTTTAGGTTAAGAAGGAAAAATTGCAACCTCTACATGTTAGGATGTAAAATTACCCAGTCCCCTAAAAATAAGGGTAGTTGAGGTTTTGCTCAAATATGCCTTTACATACTCCTTGCTCTCAGGGGCCCTAAGCTGAAGAGCAGCTCTTTAGGCAATACCAATGATTGAAAGGAAGGCTTTGCAAAATTTAAGTTTTGCATACAAATTGAGTGTAGGATGCTGGGATCAGGATACATTACTCATCACTCTTCTAACCCCTTTTGTACTACTCAGCAGCAATCAAAACTGCTGAAGTATGTTCACATGGATTGGTTGGATTAGTTGTGGGAAGGGAGAGGCACGCAAACAATTTTTAACAGCATTTATTAGTCTCCACAACAACAGCAAAGAGTCTCATACAAAGCAGACACATATTTGAGTAGGTGTTATGTTTTAAATGCTTCCCTCAAATTAGATGCCAATTCACATGAAATTAAAATTGCTTGTGAGATTAAAACCTACTCTCATTATACAGTTGTACAATCTTGTGATGCATCTGAAGGATGGGTCTAAAGATCTTAAAAGGCAAGCAGGTAAGAAGCTGTCAGATTTGAAGATCACTGGGCATACTTTTGCTATTACATAGGTACTATTAAGTTAGGACTGCTTTGTTTCCAGGGTAGTTGTTATTCTGAGAATCTGAATGGTGAAAGGAGTAAACAAACTTCTGGTGTCCCGAAGCTGTTAATTCCCACCCTTTGCCACCATAGGTTTAGATGCCATTTAAGCATTTTTATAAAGTTGCAGGTAGTAGACCACAGAATGCATTGTGCAATATCAGTTTGAGCAATATTGCATATGGCAATATCAGGTTCTTTTCAACATCCATTATTGAAAAGCTAGCAGCAACTAAAGCCGTGACAAAACCCAACTTCTTCACCTCTTAGTTTTGTACAGACTTTCCTTTATTTCATCTGATTGCACTGCATAGCTGTTCAATCCTTTCAAACAGAGGAATAAAACTTCCTGGAGTTTCATCGAGGCTTCAGAAATCAAGAAGCCAATAGTTCTTAATGTACAGCTTTACAAACAGACCTAAAAGCAGCATGGGAAAAAAGCCAATGTAATTAAGCACTACAGAAAGGATTACAAAAGAACAGCCCACACCAAAAAATAGAGAAGGAAGACTGCAGAAAGGAGCCTATACAGCAATTTGTGCCTGAACTTCTTCCAATTCCTGGTTTAGCCTAGTATATCTGTCACATTCTCTCATGACAACTCAGGACTGTATATCTCAAATCAAGGGCAAAAATAAGTTTTTTATACCTAGAAAATTTGTAGCCATAGATAATAATCACTGAAACAGGTAAAGGCAGTGTTCTTACCCCTGAAGTGTCATGGTTAACTACTACTAGATCTTTGGCCTGAATAGAGCAGGAAGAAGCAGGGAAAAAATACAGGCAGTAAAAGAATAAAACCACTGTTTTAAGCACTGACCCACAGTTATCATTTCAGAGACCAAGACTCTGGATAAGTGAAATTAAAAACAATCTGAAAGTATATACACAAGAGATTATAATTTCATCCCATTTTAGATCCTTTGAAATCAAAATCACAGTTTTATTGTGATCAGTGGTCACAATTAGACAGAAGCTTAACCAAACTAATCAACGGGCTAAAACATGTGAGCAAAAAGCTAGAAGGGGCATTTCTCTTTTGCTACACGGCATCACAGTACAAAACCTTTTTGTATCAAAACAGTTCCAAGAATTTTCCATCTAGATAAAGCACAGCCCAGCTGTCTGTAATTGACTTTAGTATCACAGATTTAAGACTGCCTTGATATAATGACCTCCAATGTGCTACTGATATCAAAAACAGGAACCAGTCAACAGAAGAAGTGAATAAACAAGAATATTTTTAAATAAAGAGTCAAATGCCTTTACTGAGAAGTAAAACCAATTTTGGGGGGCAACTGGGATTTATTTACAGTTCTCTTCTGAATGTTCCAATCTGGTTGATAACCTCTTCCTTTTGTTTCTGCTCCCATGACAATGATCAGTGATCACTTCATTTCCCAACAAGGACACAAAGGTTGACCCATAGAAACACTGGCTTCAATTATGTCAGCCTAAAAGTCAGACAAGCCTGCACTGAGGGGTTTCAGGGTAGTTAACCAGTGCAGAGTAAAGGCCCCAACTTAAACTCAAAGTGGAAAGATCTTAACTTTTAATCAGTGTATCTGCAGCAGTGCAAGTCCCACTTTCTATTTGGCACAGCCTTTCTAAGGCACAGCCATAGCTTTTGACACAGGTGAAACGTATTTGCTGCTAGATCAGCAAGAGAAGCTTCAAATGCAGATAACTCCTTTGAATTATGTACCTGTGATAAACCTAAATAGTTTCTAATGGTTACTGTCTCAAAGTGAAAATGAAGAAAAATCCCAAGGAAAATCAGAAAAATCTTACTGCCTTAGATTCTTCTTGTAGCAACCATTTAATAATGTGCAATTTCAAGCATATGGTTTAGCATTTTCCTTAATATAAGCTTTAGTAAATAAAAGCCAAAACTCATTAAACACATATTACACTTAACCTTCATCAAAATGAGTCCCAGACAGTTTGCTGGTTGCTCTTTTCACCATTCTGTAAGATATTCAGAAGCTGAATAGTGACTTTATTTCAGTAAGCACAGAAGAAAGGCTGGTGCTCTGGATGATATTCAAGCTAACTGCAGTCCACACACTAATGAAGAATGAAGATCATAACATCACTGGTGTCAGCCTCCATATAAAGAGAAATACACCATGCCTAACTTCTGACTATCACGTCCAATTGCAGATATACTTTGAAATAACTCCTCCAGTGAGCTATTCATTACTGCCTATTACATGCCTTCCACAAATCATAGCTGCACTTGTTCTGTAAAGTCCAGTTTGAAAGCTCAAATGTGATGATTTAAGAGACAGGGCGTTAATGTCTAGATTCTTCCAGCCCCAGGGGCAACAGGGAACTTAAAAACTATTAAAACATTATTTGTTCTATAAGGATTACTTATTACACATTCAATTTAGTCAACCATGTCTGCTGAGAGGCACACAAATCCCACCATAGCTAATTTAAGAACTTACCAATTTCCCTTGCAATTCTGACAGCTTCATCTGCATCCTGTAAAAGCAGGAAATGAGACCCAACGTTAATCCCATCAGCCATTGCACTGTGTCCTGAGGGCAGTCATATATTGCACTACTGTCTCCTCCGATTCATTTAATGTTTGATTTTACAACCTTCTGACCCTTTTCAGCCAGAGGAATGTAAAATTAATACCATAAGTGGAATGTAAATTCTACCTCATCATTAGTATACTGAGAAACTCAAAGCAACAAGGAATCAGCTGACAGGAAACACAACCAGGATCGCAAAATGATTTTCTGCAGTTGTAGGAATTTAATGCTAGAATTTAGAAGTTTACAATCAATAATGGACCATAAATCAGATCGTTAAAGTTTGTCCACCACCAGCTTGTTTCTGTCTCCACTGATATTTCTTGTGCTTTCCTGGTTGCTGTCAGTAGGGGGAGTTGATTCTCTATTGTTTGGGAGGAACTCAAGTACAGGAAAAAAAAAATCTTGCAAGACTTTTTTAAAGACAAATAGGTTTTGTTTACTGAAGAAAGAACACAAATATTTCAATTCTGTAACTTCTGCATTCTGAATACAGAATAAAGCTTATATGAACCATTTTAAACTGTATCTGAAAGCAGAAGATTGCCATAATTATTTCCATTTAAGAGTCACCATGTTACTAGCTTAAGACAATTTTAAAAATCCTTTTGTTGATGCCACCTATTGCTTCAGCTGCCTCATACTACTGTAGCCTGGTACAGAAAAAAGTATGGGAAATTCAGAGAATAAAAAACAAAATACTTGAATTGCTTACTTTTCAGTAACCAAACTGCTTCTCCTGCAGTAGTTAATTCTAGTTTCTTCTACTGATAACAATATATTCCCATTATACAAAACCAGAAAGAAAATGGGTTAAATTATAGTGGCATGGGTTAAGTTTGAAAATTCCATCCAAATTTGCTAATATTTATACTATCCCATGACATGCATTAAAAAATTTGTATAGAAGGCAGTAATGTCTGGAAATCACCAGCTGCTAAGTGTGTCTGAAACTATGGGGGCTGACTTACGAACATTAAACTGAAACCTGATATTTTTAAAGCTTTCAAGGCAATCCGTTTTAAAAGCACCCAGGTCAGAACTTTAAAAAAAATACATAAGAAATGTTCATACCTGGTTCATTTATGTCCGATAATAAAACAAAATCCTCTTTAAAAGTCTTCAGTACCTAGTAACAGCCCCATGAAGAATAAGGGGGTAGGCAGGGGAAGTTGTCAGAAAATTTAATTTCCTTTCATTAGCTAGTCTGCTCCACAAATCGGTGCTTGTTAAGTTCAAAGAGGTCCTGAAAGCAACATCAGTTTTAAGCCTTTTTACTTCAGTCACATCTGTTAATGAGATTTTTCCAAATAACAATTGTTTTTAAGTCAAGAGATAAATCTAGCAAAAAAAACTAACCCCCACCCCTCCGAAAAAATCTCAGGGTTTACTGTTTTATTACACCTTGCTGCTTTCCATGACCCTGCACCCTCCAAATTTTAGCTAAAAGGGATAAAATGCATGAAAAGGGTCATTTAAGAATGTTAGTGGTTTCCACACATTGAGTTTGAAGGTTCTTTGTTCCTGCCTGTGACAGTTATGCGAGAATACTTCCCCTTAATAGCCTCTCTGTCAGGAAGTGTTAAACCTGCCAAATGCAGACAATTAGAGCCTCTTGAACAAAATGCAGGAATAGTGATGACTGATGAAGAGCTACGATTATAGTCGGGAAGGAAACTTTTACATTTCTTTTCTCTTGCAAATTCACCCATATATTTGCAAAATAGAATTAAGAGGGGGGAAGCAAACAGGGTAATTTTTTTTCACTTAGTTACCTGCAAACAAGTGGCTAACTGATACACTGCAGTCCACAGGAAGACAAGTTGCAAATCATTAGAGGGGAACTTTTCACTGCCACTGTATTTTTATACATGCATACAACAAATTTTAAGTAATAAGCAGCATCGTATCAGCAGCACTAATTGTCTCAATTCTGGCTTGAAAAGACTGAAGTCAACTGCCCAGCACAGTTATTAATTTACACTGTTTCAACATCTATTTCTTTTATAGTTCAAATATATTAGAACCCAACACTAAGATACAAGGGGGGGAGGAAATCAATGCATACTCAAATTCTTTAGCCTTCGAGAAGCATTTCCAAACCAGAAAACAAAAATATGCTGTGCTTTAGAGAGAAAAATTAATGCACAAAAAACCCCAACAACTGACATATTGAAGTCTCTGGTAAGTCTTTTGATCTTTTGCCCTAAGAAAGTATGTTTTAGTATCATGAATTTCACTTGCAGATTACATAAATACAGAATCAGTTTGAGCACTCAGAAAACGTTTAGACATTTATTTTAGATTTTTGGTGCACAGAACTTACAATTTTCAACATTTGCCCAAAGAGAGCAAAAAACTGAATGCTATGACACTGCCTAACACACAAGTCCATATGTGCAAAATATACAAAGCCACACTGGTACTAAAAGCACTCTGAATTATTTTTTTAAAAGCAAGAGTCGTCAATGATTTACTGCTGTTTCCTCCAAAAACAACATTAGCTACACTACCATTTTCCCAAAATAAACTGGAGACTGTAAAGAAATATATAATTTTAGCACCACCTTTTATTGTACAAATAAAAATGTTCAAGTAATGGTAGAAGTTTATAAAAATTCTAAGAGTTATAAAATGATGTCATACTGTTTTTACAAATAGGTGATCCCATTGAGTTAAGGATACATAAAATCCTCATTTAGCATAAGAATTCCTAACCTCCAAATTTCATGTACATGCCTCTCAGCCAGGTACCAGCAGGTGGAGACAGAAAAGCAAAACTGTTCTTGATGTAGAGGAATGCCAGGATAAAGCTGTTTTTTAAGAGACTCCTAGAACTGTAAAACATTGCATTAATTATGAAGAACTACACAATAGTTTTCATGGCTGAGGGTGCTGGCCTTAAGAGAACCTCCCGTTTATGTCTAGTCTCCAACAACCTCTTCAGCAATACAATGATAATTCAATCCCAATGCCAAAACCTAATGCAAAAATTCAGCCAAAACAGGTACCCAAAATTAATGTTAATTACAGTAAATTCAGAGCCCTGCCGAAGACCTTCAATGTGTCTACTGACATCAGTGAAACTAAGTAGACATGCAGAGACATTATTCTTCTGGGTCTACATCCAGCTGTGTTCTACCAGCCATAAAACCAGACTGTATGTGGTGAAACAATACAAAAATCATTCCTCCCCTGCCATTCCTTTGCCAGTTTTTCACCATGACATGTCCTTATACTCATTACTCAGCATCTACTTTCCTCTTGTCACCTATTCCCCTTTACTTATTTACAGTCAATACATCATCTGAGCTCCAACTTCAGTACAGCCATTGCTCACAGGATTAATGATAATTCTTTTGATTAAGACTGTTTACCACTACCTCTCCCAATCCAGTTTTAGAAAACTAATTGTAGTTAGACATTTTGAAATTAATTACTTTCAAATGCTTTTGCTGGCTCTCTAGCTGACAGCACGAGACTTTGGTTCCTTATATGTGTAGACTGGATAACCCCTGACCCAGCCAACTGAGAAACTGAACCAGGGATGAGAAGAAAATTGCTCTTCATAAAACTGCCCTCTCCACTCTCATTCCACATCTTTCCATTCTTGGGTACATACTTCAAATGCTCAGAGCATCTCCCTGTATGAGAACAGTTAGTTGTGTCTGTTATGCCAAGCATCCTCCTCTTCAATCCTTCCAGGTCTTTCAGGATACTGTTAAAGGGCTTCCTTCTCTTACATTTAATTTCTACTTACTTGGAATTTTCCTGTACACAACTTCTCTAAGATGTTATTATAAAAGCTTAGCAACTACAGTGTCTCCTATGTGTAAGTGCTAAGCAACATAAACAAGAGAGGAAAAACATTCTTTATTCATGAAGGACCTAAGTATCTGCAGCACTATTTAACAAACTCTTCTAGTAACAAAGATTTTCAGTGCAGTTCTGAGTTGAATAACGAAGTTGAATAACGCAAAGTTATTACTCTGTGTTTGCTTTAACTATTAATGCACAAAGCATATGTGTAACAGATCTGTCTTAATTTCTGGCATTATCAGAGGCATCAATACAGTTTTCTTCCAGCTTTACTAGAGCCCAATTTAAAGATAAAGCCATCTATAATCAACTCAAGTGTCAACCAGACATTTAACTCCTTCCAAACACCTTTAAAATTTTTATTTCTCAAGAAACAAAGCCCTCAAAGGTTTTGAAAGCTTCATAACTGATCAAAATAGGTCTCCCAAGAATGGCAGAAATCCTAAATAGTCTCCAAGTCGTTGTGTGTTACTCCTCTGAGGCATATATTTAGAGCCATAGCAAGTACAACAATATCAATTATCAGAAGCTTCATTTCCTAGAATTGGTAACCAAAGCACTGGTTAACCTAAAATTTTCAGCTCCCCTTTATGACAGAAACTACAATGCTGGCAGCATCTATGGACCTCCCTTTTTCTTATTTGGTGGGTATACTGCAGGTTGTTTTTTGGGTTTAGTTATGTTTTTTTCTTTTCAACACCACTCTTCAGATAATTAGAACTGGTGCAAGGCTGAGGTATGTGAAACTGATATGATATGGACACCTTGGGGTTAAGCAACTACCACATAGTTCCTTTCAATAGCAGAGGATTGGAGTTGTCAACTCAATCCTACATTCCAGTTCATTTGGTTTTAAGGGTATCGTTGCATATCGTCCATTGCCAACCACATCACTTACACTTTTCATGTTAGGAACTTCAGATAATTGTCAACACAGTACAGTTGAAGGTTCTGGAAACAAATGCATACAAGTAAGTAGATCAGTTTCACTGGTTCTATGTCTACCTGTTTCATTAACCATTATCCTACTTTGTCAGGTTTGTGTCTTTGTACCAGAGGAATAACAGACCTTTACATAATATTTAACTGATAAAGTGAAAAAAACCAGCATTTTGAGTATTTTATTGCACTAGAGTAAGTTTTGTGGTGCTTAAATAATTAATTCAAAGTTATCTCCTAATTAGATTTTTTTCTACAAGTTATTTTTCAGGATTTCTAGAAGGAGATACAGGATGTCAGGTAGAACAGAGAACCTTATGCACAACATCTTGGCTGCTGTTAAATGTTATGAGTGCTAAAGGACCACATACACAAGGACTGCTAAAACACACACAACAAAAACCTGAAAGAGTACTGTGTTCAACTTGCCACTGCCAGACTTCAGCATGGGCACAAGTGCCATTCCAACACTCATATGGAGCTGTCCAGAAAAGAAAGCCTTTCCACTTTTAACTGTTGCAGCACATCCCATTACCAGTCATGACACAGACCACGCATTTCCATCCCAAGTACTGAAAAGTTCTCTTGGGCATTTTAACCTCAGCTATTTTGTGATTTTATCATTCTCACTCTCAAGTTCTCCAGGCAGCCTCATAGAAAGAGGTAATTTTGTGGAGGCTTACCCCTTAGCACTCTATTTACCTTTCTGATTTAGTTAGGTTTTGAGTTGCTTTTTTTCCTCTTAAGAGTCTAAAATCCAACTTAGCTAACACACTTTTCATGTATCTCAAAGTTTCACTCAAATTTTATTTGGACAAGAAAAATCTAACTCGACATGTCAAGTATAAAAATTTCAATACAGGTGGTCAACATTTTATAATACACAAAAGTTTTAGGTGTATACAATAAAGGTTTTAAAAGAGAAAACCATGTTTTAACTACAGATAATGTAACAAGACACATAGGAAAGCTTTTAAGAGCCCAGTATTTAATCACTATAGGACAAAAGAAAAGAAAAATAAAATTTACTTTACCTTTAAAAACTACAAAAATATTTTGGTTGTTTCTTTAGATAACTGTTGAAAATCATTCCTTCTAAAACCACAGGAAGAACACTAACTGTAGATTCTGACAAAGAGCCACCAACTTCCCCCATCTTCACCCCAAGTTTTGCAGCACATGAAGATCAGCACCATCAACAGAAACCATAAAATGGAAACTTGACACCCTTTAACAAGCTCCAGCATTAACTCAGAACTGTCAAGGTGTTGGCCAACAAGAAAACCTGAGAAATGTAACGATATGCAGATAGTCGAATCCACATCTGGCATTTAATACATTTAGTTGCCCTCATGTTAAATTTAAAGTAAAGTATTTTTAGAGACTCCACTAAAGAACTCCTTAATACATCATTTATTATCAAGGACTTTCTCTTCTTTTCCAAAGCTCTCTTGCGAGCAAAAATCTGTACCCCGTTTTTAATTACATCTTACTGAAAAAGAAGATGGAATTATAATTAGATTCTGCACCAGACCTTCAATAGGTGTACTTTGATTTAGACATTGTTCCTACAGTGGGCAGACAGTAATTAAATGATTTCTCACCTTGACTACTCCATCAAAGCCAGGGATCGTGTTGACCTTTGCATTCTTGGCTAACAATTTGCTTTCAATCTTGTCTCCCATAGCTTGAATAGCATGTGTGTCAGGTCCAATGAAGGTGACACCTTCCGATGCCTGCGAAGACAATCAAACTTTAGGAGACAAAAATAAAAATCAGCTTTTCTTTACACAGATATTGCTATTCATATTTTTTCTCCTTTGGAACTGACTAAAGCAACAATGTTTATAAGACAGTAATCTGTTTATGTAACAACCTAGCAATATACTCGCATTTCAGACAGTTCATTAAAAATGTGTATGACCTTGTGAAACTATGTATACACAGAGATCCAAAGCCCCTATAATTAGCATTTGTATAAATCAAAGCCAGGCCAGAGAAAAATAGCTGCAAGTGAAGGTCCTCCAGTCTGAAAGTTAGAAATATCCCTTTAGAAAACAGGATGGTTAACTCACCCTTGAAACAGCCATAAGTGATTTACAAAGACACACTTGCTAAACTGTAACGCAGCTTAAAATTCTATTTATTATGTATTCCTAAAACCAAAACTCAATGAAACACCACAATGAAAATGCAATCTCTTACTCAACATACTTAAGATCTTGAAAGGTAGTAAGTGAAAACACATTTCCTGATTCTTTTAGGAAACTCTTTTCCAATACTATTGTGGCACCAGGTTAAAATAAAATACTTAAATACTTCAACTTTAATACGTATGTAGAACACTGAACTGCATTTTTCTTCCTCTGGTTTCTCTATACCAACAATAGACGTCAGCAAGATCATTCAGATACAGGCATTTTTTCAAACCTCTTCAGGTCACTGCTATATTGAGTTAAAGGCAATTCTATCACAACTATTCCCTGAAAGTTACTGATTGATCAAAAAGTACACGTGTTTCAGGCAACTGAACAGCTTTTGTAGTGGAGGAGGACAAAAAGGGATGGGGGAGAGGATTAAAAAAAAAACTCAAGCCTTGCACAATGTTTCCAACTCTTACATTCCTTTTTGACATATCCTTGTGCTCTATATACCATACAATTAAAGCCACTAACAATAAAAAGTCATTGTTGAAGCTTTGTACACTTATGTGATGGTACTACATGATCCAAACCCTGAACACAAGAATCACAGAATATGCTGAGTCAGAAGAGACCCACAAGGATAACTGAGTCCAACCCTTAGCCCTGCACAGGAACATCCCCAAGAGTCACACCATTTGCCTGAGAGTATCCTCCAAATGCTTCTTGAACTCTGTCAGGATTGGTGCTGTGACCACTTCCCTGGGGAGCCTGTTCCAGTGCCCAGCCACCCTCTGGATGAAGAACCTCTTTCTAATATCCAACCTAAACCTCCCCTGACACCACTTCAGGCCATTCCCTTGGGTCCTGTCACTGGTCACCACAGAAAAGAGATCAGTGCCTACCACTTGTCTTCCCCTCACAAGGAAGTTGTCACTGCAATGCGATCTCCCATCAGACTCCTCTTCTCCAGGTTGAACAGACCACGCGACCTCAGAAGCTCCTCAGAGAGCTTTTCCTCAAGGCCCTTCACCATCTTTGTTGCCTTCCCTTCCTCTGGACACTCTCCAAGACCTTAATATATGTCCCATATTTTGGTGCCCAAAACTGCACACAATATTCAAGGTGAGGCCACACCAGTGCAGAGCAGAGTGGGACAATCCCCTCCCTCAACCAGCTGGTGATGCTTTGCCTGATGCCCCCCAGGACACAGTTGGCCCTCCTGGCTGCCAGGGCACTGCTGACTCATATTCAGCTTGCCTTTGACCAGGACCCTCAGGTCACTTTCTGTGGCACTGCTTTCCAGCACCCCATTCCCCAGTCTGTACGAACACCCAGGGTTGCCCCATCCCAGGTGCAGAATCCTGCACCTTTCCTTGTTGAACTTCATATGGTTGGTGATTGCCCAGTCCTCTCATTTGCCAAAGTCTCTCTGCAGGGCCTCCCTACCTTCAAGGGAATCAACAGCTCCTCCCAGTTTTGTGTCACCTGCAAACTTGTTTAATATCCCTTGCAGTCCTGTGTCCAAGTCATCGATGAAGACATTGAAGAGCACAGGGTCTAAGATGGAGCCCTGTGGAACTCCACTAGTGACAAGACACCAATATGTCACCCGTTCACTACTACCCTCTATGCTCAACCCATGAGCCAATTGCTCACTCATCACATGATGAGATCCAGTAGGATCCTGTGAGAGACAGTATCAGAGGCTTTACTGAAATCCAAAAAGATCATATCAACTGGCTTCCTTCCTTTGACCAGTTAGGTGGATCACCTTGTCATAAAGGAAATAAGGTTGGATAAGCAGGACTTTCTTCTCATGAAGCCATGCTGGCTCTGACCAATGACTGTGTTGTCTTCCAGGTGTTCCTCAATACTTTCCAAAATAATCTGCTCCATAAGTGAGACAGACAAGACTGTAGTTTCCAGGGTCCTGCTTCTTGTCCCTTCTGAAGATCAGGACAATGTTCACCCACTTCCAGTCATCTGGGACCTCTCCAGATTCCCAAGACTGCTCAAAAATCATCAAGAGGGGTTTTATTTAAGATGAGGCTGGATGTGGCACTGAGTGCCATGATCTAGTAATCACAGTGGGGTTAGATCAAGGGTTGGACTTAATGGTCTTGGAGGTCTCTTCCAACTCAGTTAATTCCATGATTCTATGATTCCATGAAGGGGGGTTTGCAATGACATCAGCAGCTCTTTGAGGATTCAGGGATGAATCACATCAGGCCCCATTGCTTTCTAAGGATCCAGCTGAAACAGCAGATTCCACACAGTTCCAGGGATGACTGGCAGTTGATCATTCTCACAGCGCTGTCCTCCAAGCTGAGGGCACTGAGACCCCCTTGGTACTTCTTCTGTGTTGAAGACAGAGGCAAGGAAAACCTTAAACACCTCTGCCTTGTCTCTGGCCCATTTGTGAGGTGACCATCCTCATCCTGTAACAGGACAAGGATATTTCTATACTGCCTATTGCTGTTAATGCATTTGAAAAAGCTCTTTTTATTGTCCCCCACATTTCTGGCAGCTTCAAATCCAGTAGAGCTGTCAGCCGCATGAATTTTCTCCCTACAGTGTCAAGTAGCATCTCTGCATTCTTCTCATGTCACTTGATCTTGCTTCACCTGGGCATACACCTTCCTTTTTTGCCTTATTTCCAAGAGAAGATAAGATCCCTGTTCAGCCAAGTTGGCCTCCTGCCTTGCCTGCTTGACTTCTGACATTGACTTCTGATGATTGCCTGCTCCTGTACCCCTTAGGAGGTGATGTTGTTTTTTAATTTGGGGAACAACATCCTTCTATTCATGATCTTACGAGAGCTGAGAGATCCCAACATGCTTGGGAGTCACCACTTTCACTGTCAGTAGTTTCCTAGCATGAAAAGTATAACAGCAGAAGCTCTGTGTAGGCAAGTTCCCATCATCCTAGCTAACAGGGTGCTAGAAACAGAAAAAAGATCAGCTAAATATTATGGATACACTAGGAAGCTCAGTGCAAAGACACCCAAGCAAATGCAGAGCATCAGTTCTGCTACAAAGGACTGTTATAGCTTCAATTCACAATGAATACCAGCTCAGGTTTCATCTCAGCCCAACTCTCCTTTACTACATTCAGCTTCTTAGCTCAGGAACTCAGTAATACTGACTTGATTATTGTACGGGAAGACTGCAATAGGAGGAAGGAAGAGAAAGAAGAGAAGGAAGAGATAGGAGGACCAAAACAAGGGTGGAGATCTATAATTATTTAGTGTTCAAAGCCTTTGGCACTGCAAGAAATCTACTTTTTAAAGGAGAAGGGAAACAAGAAGCAAAGAGTTGACACATAAAACCATAGTGGCACAAAGTTTGGATCTGACTTTTTCAGAAACAACAGATTTTGACCCGAAAACTGATACTTCATCCTCTCTTAACAAGAGAGTTGCAAAAATGTGCCTGCATACACCTGGAGATAGGGCAGAGTTCTCTTCTGTCATCAGACTGTATTCCAGTGTCAAAAAGCTATGTGGAAAAGGTTCATTTACATACTTGATAACTGGAGATTACACTGTCCCTCTTGTATCAATCCTTACCTGGAAACACCTTGTATCTACAGTTTCTGCCACAACACTGGCATCTGCATCCTGATCAATACCACTTTAAACTCCATCATGTACTGCTTCCTCTCCTTACTTTCTTCTCAAAGTCTACCCCCAAAAACATGGACTCACCAGAGGTCAAGATAGTGGGCCCAGAACTTCTGCTGCCCTAACAGACCATCCAGGACTTCCACCTTGCAGTCTATTTCCATACTCTCACAGTATTTCTCTCTCTCCTCTGACTTTGTTCTGACAGAAAACAAAAAACCTTCATTCCAACTGGAGGTCAGAGGAGAGGACAGAAATTGCATTCATGACATCAGCAAGCACACACTGACTTCCTGTCTCATCTCACTGACCATTGGCATGGACTTTCCAAGTACCCAGTTCATTCCCTGCTCCTGTCCAAACAGGTAGCTGGATAAGAAGAGAACAGCACCATTCAGGAGAGATCCATGAACCACCTGAGAAGGAATGCTCCAGGCCATTTCAAGAAATTAATCTCTGCATCCATTATATTTGTTACATGAATCCTGTAGAGCTGTAATATTCCACGTGGATACAGCCAATGCTATTTATTAAGTACCAGATGATAGGCGGTAGATTCACATTACTCTACTGCAAATATCACGTGGTGCAACGTGCATCTTTCCTTTTTTTAATGTATACTTTTCATAAGCCAGAATTTGCAAAGTGCACTTGTCTACACATGCACCTCTCAGCTTCAAACTGCATTGAATCTTTGTACCTTAGACAGATCTGCTCTTTCATGCTGAACAAGCAGCAGCTTAGTACCACCAGCGATCCCCTGATATGGTTAGTCAATTCAGGCACTCACCACAGCCAATTACTTCCCAGCAACAAAATCTGAAATAAAATAGTTTAACTCAATGTGATATCACAGGACACCTAAAACCACATCACTCTGCATGCTGCAACATCCATAAATCAAAAATAAGTTAACAAACAAAAGGAGTTCCACTGTTTTCCAGCCAGTATGTCTGGCCATCTCTTAACA